AAGCAGCAAAGCAAGGGAAGGGAAGGTAGTGTAATAGTTAATGGGGCCCTTCACTTTGCTCTCTCCAAAGCCATACTCTCAATCCAACCTAAGAAGACGCATGTCAGTTCTGATTCCTCTAATCCAAGTATGTATGAGTCTCCCCCCCCCCCCCCCCTCTCTTGTCCGACTCTTCTCCCCACCCCTCAAATCATCTAACATGTGCATCACTCGGTCTTCTACGCACATGCCCAAACCACCTAAATGAGATTCTTGCATCTTATCGTCAATAGATGTTACTCCCACCTTTTGTCTTATTATCTCATTCCTCAAGCGGTCTTTTCTCGTATGTTCACACATCCAACGCAACATACGCAACATTGACACACTCATCTTTTGAATGTGGCATTGCTTCACCGACCAACACTCTACGCCATACATTAATGCAGGCCTAATTGTTGTTCGATAAAATTTACCTTTCAGTCTAGTCGACATACCTAGATCGCATAAAAATCGTGATGCACTCTTCCATTTCATCCACCTAGCTTTGATTTTATGGCATACATCTTCATCTAATTCACCATCCTTCTGAATTATGGAGTTCGAGTAACCGAACATATCACAGACTGGTATCTCCTCACCATCAAGAGTAATCCCACTGTTGCTACTACTTCTACCTCTCCAAATTATGCACTGCATATACTCGGTCTTGCTTCGGCTCATCCTAAAACCCTTGGTCTCCAATGTTTGTCGTCATACTTCCAACTTTGCTTTAACACTAGATTGTGTCTCATCAAGCACTACAATATCATATCGTCGGCAAACATCATGCACCATGGTATATCTTCTTGAATTGACTTCGTAAGTTCACTCATGACTATAGCAAATAAGAAAGGACTCAGAGCAGATCCTTGGTGTACTCCAATAGTATTAGGGAACTCTAGCTTGCGGTCCTCCCTACATTAGTGCGGACAAGTGTAGTACAAGCATCATACATATTCATGATGACACTGATATACTTACGTGATATGCCTTTTGTAGTTAAGGCCCACCAAAGGACTTCTCGAGGTACCCTATCATATGCATTTTCTAAATCAATGAACACCAAATGCGGATCCTTTTTAGTGTCTCTATATTTCTCCGTAACTTGTCTAATTCCTCGATAGTTGGCACTTGACACATTCTTGTACATCACCCTTATTTTTAAATTGGGGAATGCGAATATTCTTTCGCCAACCTTTTCATTTTTGCTCCATTTTTTTAAATATATCAAAATTAATAATAGTTTATTATCTTTCATATAACACTAATATAGAATATATAAATTTTAAAATTTTTTAAAGGCTTATTAAACAATTTTCTAATTTTTCAATCTCAATACGAAATATTTCATACATAGTATTATATATCGAAATAATTTATATTATATGACGAAATTAAAGATAGAGGATGAGGATGTGACTTGGTAATTTTAAAGATGATAATTATGTTTGAATTTTATATTGGTGTGGCTATAAATGTGTACTCATAAGACCATTTGGAATGATGTGGAGGTAAAAATGTCACAAATGGACTCAGTCCATATGAAAACAGTGTTTTAACTCATATTTCTCTGCTTTTCACCACCATCAATAAAATACACTCAACATACTTTTTTCACATATCAATTTAATAAAACATTAACTAAATTATTATAAGTAATATTTTCCTTTTAATTTCTTCCTTGAATAATTATGAAATAAATAATACACATTGCGATGTAAAATTAACGAAAAATGAACATAGTTCGAGTAAAGTTCGATTATGGAATATTGGGTTATTCGTGAAGGTCCCATTAATTTAAAATTTGTGTTTCGTATTTTTAGACTAAAAAAAGCTTCAACATTTAAAACTTAAGTTTTTTTTTATTTTATATATTATATATTGGTGTCATATAAAAGAACATAAAAATTCATGAATTTGGATTTATATTTTTATAAAAATTGGATTAAAAAAAGTTATAATACATTTAAAAAACAATTTTTTTATACGATGGACTCATGATGTTTTTTACTTGGACTGTTTTGCGTCTCAGACCAGACAATACAAGACTTAAATAGACCATACCAAACTTAAACAGACCAGACCAGACTTGACTTCCGTAGTTATAAAATGCACAGAGACCAGACGTTTACCAGACCCGATCAGATCAGCTCAGACCACACCAGACCAGATTTTAACAGAACAAACTAGCAAATTACAGTCCAAGTAAAAACGTCATCATACCTGCACAAACTTCTATAGTTCTATCTCTCTCCTGCTCTCATCCGCGCACGACCACCATTTTTTTAACCTTGAGAGTCTATCCTCCCTCCATATTTACAACCCTACATTCCTTTTCCACTTTTACCCCATTTAACTTACCACTATATGAAATTAGGAGTCAAAAAATTCTATAATAATCAATGCAGTCTTTTTTATGATCAACGTGGATCGACATATAAGCCAAAATAATTCAAAATAGCAAAATAAATCTTCAAAAAAGAAAAATTAAAAAAAGCAACGTGCATTTGCAAATAAAATTAATTAATTTTTTATTAAATCTCTAGCCACACAAATATAAAATTTAAACATAATTCGTCTCTAGAATTACCTAGTTACACCCTCATCCTCTATCTTTAATTTTGTCATATAATAGAAATTACTTCTTTATATAATACTCTGTATGAAATATTTCGTGTTGAGATTGAAAATAAGAAAATTGTTTAATAAGCCTTTTAAGAAATTTTAAAATTTATATATTCTATATTGGTGTCATATGAAAGAGAATAAAAAGTTATGAAATTTTGATGTATTTAAAAAAAAATGGAGCAAAAATGAAAAAGTTACAGTTTTTAAAGAAAAAATGTGATTTTTATAACATGGGCCCCATGAACTATACTCTACCTTACCTTCCTTGGATCCAGAGCCTCTTCAAGGTAGTGTGCCTCTCTCTTTCGGACCGCTCGATCGGAAATTCGACGGTGGAAGATCTTGGCTCCACCCCTTCACCAATCTCGAGGTCATCCTCGTCGCTTCCTTGCCGTCGGATGCCGCAATGCACTTTGCCTTATGGTAGAGGATCTTGATCCACCTTCCTTCGCTTTGCTGCTTTGTTCGGTCGCATGCAAGAGTAACCAAAGCGGTTGGCTGCTTGTAAGTCGCCACTTTCATTTGGCGACTTTGCTCAATTTAGAGCCTCTTTGGCAACACTGAAATCGGTTGTTGATTCTGCTGAAATTTATGAAGTTTTGGCTGAAGTGATTGTGTTGGCTCATTTTGCTGATTTATGAAAAAATTACATTTTAAATATATTTTATTAACAAAATAAAGAAAAATATATATGAAAAAATAGCTAAAATGATCCTCTACAGTAACTTCAACCAATACAACTAGAAAAGTAGGTTTAATCTAACATTTTCTCATTATTACACAATTGAGCGCGAGAAATACAAAATTACGTGTTTGGTGAAAAAGTTGTCTGATAAATCTGATAGACCGAAAAAACAGGCTCACCAAACGGGCTCTCAAAGTATTTTCGTAAATAGTTTTAACTAAACTTTATTTTTTTTCTTTAACATTATTTTGGAAAAAAACCCTCTTCAATATTATTCATTTGCAGGCCATTTTAATAAATATGGGCCCATTTTTTCTTGTTAAAGCTTGATCAGCCTCTTCTGGCAAATTATACTATACACCCGGGTGTACATGTACACCTGGTTTTTAAATGACGTGGCAGGCTGATTCTCTCATCCATACTTTTCCTGATTCTTCTTCTGCCGTCATCCTCATTCCCTCACTCCCCGTTGCTTTTATTTATTTCAGCCGCCATTCTTTTTCATTTTTTAGCCTCCATCCCGTCATCCTAGTTCGTTTTATATTTGTTTTGTCTTTTTTATTTTATTTTTTCGTTACTTTTTTTTCTCTTCTTTCTTTTTTCTTTTCTGTTTCTTTTATTTTACTTTTTCGTTACTTTTACTTTAGTTAATTTACTTTAGTTAGTTTACTTTTTTGTCTTTTTTCTTTTTTATTATTTTAAACTCAAATAATTGTAACGTCTAAAAAGAATAAATATATACAAATGAACATTTCAATTTTTGAAAATTCATTTTGTAAGTTATGTATGTCCATTTAGTACCTTTATTATGCTCAATTTAAAATGTTTATCCATGCATATTTCAAAAGTCTCATATTACATTAGATTCGCATAGAATTTGATTATAGACACGAGACCACAAACCACGATACTCAATTTCATGATTCTAGTACCCAATAACGGAGGTTCGATGCTCACTGAAAATATCTTGATGTTCAACAAACAAAACATACCATTTTCATATCAATGATCATCTTGTAAGTTACGAATGCTCATTTGTATAGGTCTGATGCTAATTAAAAATTCATTAATGTTCATTGATCTCAATAGAGGAGGTTTGATGCTCAACAGAATAAGTTTGGTACTAATTAAAAGTTCATGATTACTCATTCTCTAGAAGTCGTGATTTTCATCTCAATAGTGGAGGTTTGATGCTCAATTAAAATGTCATGATGTTCGTCTAACAAACCTAACAATTTTCATATTAATGTGCACTTTGTAAGTTATGTATGCTCATTTGGTACTCATGTTATGCTCATTTTTACAATGTCATATCCATATATATTTCAAAAGTATCATATTACATTAGACTCGCATATTGAAATTAATAAGAGTGGGTTATAGATATAATTTAATAAGTTTTTATAAAAGAAAAAATAAGAAAAAGAAAAAGAATTAGAAGATATGAACAAAAGATCGTGATACTCATTATTAGCCTCTAATACTCAATAAAATAGGTCAAATGCTCACTAAAAGTACATTATTGCTCATTTAGCGTTAGCCGTGATTTTTCGCTTAATTTACAAAAATGTCATAAAAAAAAATTGACTGTATCAATTAAATGAGTTATCGTTCTTAATTAATTGGTCTTCTTCAAATTCATTAAACTTTATTAAAATTGGGGTGAACCTTCCATTAAATTACAAATAGACGAGCTGGTCTTTCTAGCGTTCTCTCAGCGAGCTTGTAAAAACAATCCCTTCTGTGCGAAGCTGTAAGCTCTGAGATTGACGATGATCGATCGTGCCCAGCTGCTTATGGTGGGGCTCCCCCTCATCATCTTCTGCTCCGACATCTTGCGCCTGTTTTCTCCTCCGCTTTCCAAGCCGGCTGTGCCTCACCACTCACCGCCGGCACCTGTCATTCAACAGACTCATGTCCTAGATTTCCCCGCGCAGGTCCGGCTGTGATCGCATACTTTTCTATGTTTATGGTGTGCGTGTCAATTTATATTGGATAGAATGAACATTTGGGGCGATTGCCTATTGTATTGCAGACTGCTAGTGGTAGAACGGGAGCAATCGGTTTGGGAAACACTGTCAGCATTGATTTCTGCTCTTCTTGTTCCTACAGGTCTTTAATTAATCTCACTACTAGTGGCACTTCATTTTGCTATTACTTTACACTTTCTCTGATCGTGGATTCCTTTGACCCCTTGTTCTTGTGTGTCAACCTACTTGAAGTCTTGAATGGATTAATGTTTAAGTCTCATATCTTTCTAATTCCTACAGATGATAAGAAAATAGTAGACTTACAAGGGTTGACTGGTTGATGCATTGATTCTTGAACTAAAAACGAACAATTCTTTCCCTTACTAGAAAGGAGAAATAAATGTTGTGTGAGGCAGTTGACCACCTAGTTTGTTAAATAAGGTATGAGAATGAAATGAGGTTCAATATGTATGTGTTTTATTCAGTAACTTGAACAAAATATACGGTCAAAAATATGTTGACTTATAAAAAATATGTAAGTATGTATATGTGTATGATATGGTATCTTTTAAAAAAGTTCGGGTAAAAATATGGGTGTAATTTAGAACGCTTAAATTGTACTCCCTCTGTCCCAATATTATCTTCATTCTTTTCTTTTTCGTCTGTCCCAATATAAACTCCTCTTTCCCTTTTTGTCAAAAAATGTGTGGTTCACAGCATTTGTCCCACTTTCTGTCTCCTCTTCACAACTTTAGGCCACACATTTCCCACTTTCTTAATTTGTGTGACAAGTCAAAATAGGAGTTAATATTGAGATGGAGGGAGCACTAGTTTTTAGATCCTAAAAACATATATTACATAAAAGAAAATTAAAATACACACACATTCAAATAGCATATCTCATTATTTCATAAAAAAGCATTCATAATAGCATAAGTCCATCAAGTAGCACATAGTAAGGATATAACTCATAACACTCAAGTTAAACTCATCATCTTCATTACCGTCATCATAAATGGTCAGACAAAATGAGGCAAGACTATCAAGTCCTTCACTTGAATCTATGATTGAAGCATCTTCCATTCTAAGAGTTCCATTACAAACAGGTTGCAATTCTTCTCCATAATCTGGCCAATGGCCAGTCTTTTAGACGTGTCAAATCAATCGGTTTCATGTCAGCCATTTCTTAGCTTTGAAACGTTTCTATCATCATAGAATTCATCCTCACATAAACTAGAGTTCCCATCATTTGAGGAGTCAGCCTCAGTTCTGCTTCTTCTTTTTTGCATTCTTTTCCACGGTAACAAATGCCAGTGTGTGGATATCATCAGGATCTTGATCGCTAGTATCTACATCATGGTCTTTGAGTCCAGAAAGATGAAATTTGACCCTCGTTATTCCACCAAAGAACTCCTTACCCCACCGTAGGTGGGAGCCTTTGCGGCACTGGGGTAATGATGATGATGATGCTCTTCCGCATGCTACCAAAATAGATCTTTTTTCCTCACCATTGGACCACATAATGAAAAGCAAAATCAGTTAAGAAGAATATTAGAGAGGATAAACTTATAACTTTATAAGCACAAATAATAATGAGTTCAAACACCAATAATTAAATAATATAATGACAAATAAACTAATGGGGAAAAGCGTCACGCGTATAAAATGCGAAGAAACTAACTATGGTTGACCAGTTATCCACGGAGATTATTCATGATAAGTCGAACTTTGCCTAGTTTTTTTATGCTTTCGTGGAGAGCTTGGGCTATATGCTGGGTTGACTCTTGCATAAGGTTTAACTGTTTAAGTGAACGAATGGTGCCACAAAAAGGAAAACATATTTCAGTTATGTAACCAAGGATGGGAATAAAAGAAACATTTCTTTAAGTTAATTCTCTGTCTCATTGTCTATTTGAGTGGAATTAGCCTAATCTCTATGTTGATGTTTTAGAATTTCATCTCATTTATTCCATGTCTTGGCATGATATTATAGTATTAATTAATAATTAACACTATAAATATCATGCTACTGATCCCAGTATTTATGATTCAAACCATTAATAAAATTTGTGTTGTGTCTGTTAGTGCTCTGTTGAAACCATAAGCCTAGTATTGATGGGCCTGACCTGCTTTGTTTAGTTGTACCCATAAAGGTAAACATTAATAAATTTGAAATAAAGATATTTGTAGTTCATTGTATTGTTTTTCCTTTTCACTTGTTCCCTAGTTAATTTCTTTAGTCCCTTTTCTTTTAAATTTTGTTTTTTGTTTGCAGAGGAACTGCTGTCACAATGAAAAACATGCTGGAAACTCAATTTCCTGGCATCCATGTTGTTCTTGCAAATTATCCTGCTCCGCTTCCAAAACGTTTACTGAGCAAACTTGTACCCGTTGTTCAGTTTAGTGTTATTGGTATTATAATGGTGGGTGATCAGATTTTTCCAAGGCTGGGTTTTGCTGTGCCTCCCCCATGGTATTACAACTTGCGTGCGAACAGATTTGGATCTATCGCTAGCACTTGGCTTCTTGGAAATTTTCTTAATTCAATGCTGCAGAGTTCGGGTGCTTTTGAAGTGTCATGCAATGGTGAACTGGTAATGTATTTTATTTTATATTTCATAGCTGACCATATACATACATAGATGGATGGACGGATGTTATCAATTGCATTTTTCAGCACATATTGAATTTTATATACCTCATCTCAGAGCAGAGTGTAAGCTGAGTCTGGAAAGCCGGCTCTTATAATCTTATTGACAGCCTATGTGCCACAGTCATATACTCCCTCCGTCCCGCAATGAACTTCCCACTTTCCTTTTTTCGATGTCCCAGAAACAAGTTCTTGTTTCCATAAATGGCAAGTTAATCTACATCAAAACAGTGCCAAACAGTGCAAAACAGTGCAAAACAGTGCCAAACAGTGTCGAAACAGTGTCAAAACAGTAAAATTTACCCCATAGTAAGTTTATTTCCTTAATATGTGTGTAGGTCAAACTGTGAAGTTCATTGTGGGACGGAGGGAGTATAACAGTTATCATTATTGCATTCACTATTCTGATTTTTTTCCAGATATTTTCATAATTTTATTTGTATGCAAAGGATTATCCTTTTTGGACTGGTTATAGACTCTTGTGCAGTTGTGCCTGCTAAACACGAGTTTTTTGCTTATCACATGTCTCAACTTGTGTGATTCAGGTTTTCTCCAAGTTGAAGGAAAAGAGATTTCCTGGGGAAATTGAGTTGAAAGATTTGATTGACAGAAGAATTGCAAGTGGAGGGGTGATGGGTGATCTTCGTACAACTGTATGGTCCTAAAAGTAGAAGAGTTGTCTGGGTATATAAATTTTCTGTTGTTTTTTGAACTTATGTAAACGTAGCTTGTTTCTCTGTGTAATAACTGCTTACATTCACGTCAAGAGCAAGACATTATTTTGCTGGGGTCAAGGGTTTCACTTGTATTTTTGTTGTTGAAGAACCGAAGTTCCAACTCTAATTCACTTGGTTTAAGCCCTCTGAATTTTAAGTTGGGTATTGACATTATTTTTATTAGTCTCTTTTGATGTGCCTTTATTAAGCCTTTTAAAGGGTGTGCATGGCCGCATGGGTTGGGTTTGGATTTCACGTCAGCTGCAATTTGAACTCCAAAATTGTTTCTGGTTTGATACAATATTTTGGGACTGAAAAATTCGTCACCTTCTACCAATGCCTAAAATTTCAAAATAATTAGTTTTGATCTGTTACTAAATAAATTTTAATGAAAAGTTTTTTAAAATACAAAAAGAATGTGTGATTTCAAAATGTGAATCTGAACTTGGTTCAATTTAAGTCCTTGTCGGCTTGTCAGCGTGTCTTTAGGAAGCAAACATTAAATCTTTAGATTATATAACAAATCAATTCTTATGATAGAACATATAATAAAATGTTAGAAAACATAGTAAAATAAAGTTTACAATAGTCATTACTTATTAATTAATTGTATAATGAGTATGTCATTTTGTAATACCACTTTACAAAATTTGGTATGAAATTCAATACTTACCAATACAACAAAGTATAAAAATACAAAAGTAAATACTCCGTATAAGTTTAGATAAAAATGATAATTAGATAAAAAGGATAAAAATATATTTATATAAAACAAAAGGGTATTGCTTAAAAAAGGGTAAAAAGATAAAGAATATGTATACTACTACGGCACGTAAATACGTATAAATAAAACGGGTAAAAAGGATCAATAAATATAAGAAAGATAAATAAGATAGAGGGATAAAAAGGATAATAAAATACATACCAATACCATCACCATTTTAGAAAATTATGTTCGAAATGATAAAGATGTTTAGGTTACCATGGGTAAAAATATCTCTATATTTTTTACATTTCTACAACTTTTAACTATTAAAATGAGCACGAATATTAGTATTTTTATTTATTTATCTGGAAATAAATGAAATAAACATCGCCTTACGCCCTTACCTAATCGATCAATAATATGCAAAAAAGGTGTTTGATGAACACCACGCGTGACAATGGTGAACATCTGATGAGCTGTGAAAGCACCCATGGACGGATCAAGGGTACTGAAGAGAAATGTATTCTCGATATTTATTAATGGCTGTACACGTGTATTTATACATGGAATTAGTTGAGGTGATAAGATCACCGTATCACGTACGTAGCTAACTGACAACTATCAAATAGGAGGAGATAATATTTACATATGTGATAACTAATCTATGAACAAGGAAGAGATAATGCGTACAGATAATCATTGACAAATAATACACAAATTATGTTCCAATAGGTACAAGGTTCCCGATGGAAACAATTTTGCAAGTATGAATCCTTTAAAATTTAAAAACTGTAACCTCTAACAACAATCAAATACTAGTATGATCAATTAGACGTTCGTATCATCGTATGAAGTCAACAAAGTTGCCTTGATATATTTTAGTCAAAGTGTCAAACAACTACAAATCGTTTTTAGAACTTCAACTTATATTTCCAAAGACATTAAAGGGATAAAATTATGATTGTATTCTGCATACATTTGATAAAAATATAAATCTAAATTTAATTTTAATTACCATATTTTATTGTTGTTTCTGTTGTGGATCCATTTCCGTCGACTGAATTCGGCTCCGGTACACCAGAGGTCAGTTTCCGATTGTCTCCTTAGACTAACATAGGGATGGACCCGGGCCGGGCCGGTTCCGGTTCCGGGCAGGCTTTTTTTGCAATTCCTTGGGCCCGGAACCGGCCCAGGTTGCTACCAGGTCCGGGCCTAACCGAGCCGGGCCGGACCGGGCCCGATTCAAGCTTCTTTTATCCACTGGATGAACGAACAGTCGCATGGTAGCTAAGGATCTTACCGGCTTCCGCCTTAAAGTTTAAGGTTTTCAGGAGTCTAGTACATAGTCTACAAAAGTAATTGATAAATTACGCTAATATTTGCAATGGTAGAGTTGTAAATGTCAAGAATCCAAACTACGGGCAGCTGAAACAACTCTCACCACGGTTTCAAATATGAAGTATATGGCTAAACCACTTTATTTTCTGTGACCCTACCACCAGTGGCACAGAAAAACACAAAGAATGTATCGTACATTTAAATGTTTCAAATATGCCACCACTTTCGGGCTTCCATCGCCTTAACTAGCTCATCTGCTAATGATGCAAAGTCTTCAGCTCCACTGCTAAGTTCTTCAGTTCGTTTGCTGATTCTCTGATAGGGAAAAAAAAACAAGTTTGCAAGTATGGCTCCAATTTTTCCACAAATAATAGTAATAGAAATGGGTAAACGTGTAAAACACATTCATTACACATGAACCGTTCAAATTTCAAACGTAGCTTTCCCATACTTGACCATCACGGAGTGCTCGTATGGTCAGGGACTAATAGAAATGAAGCAAGGTAGAAGCAGAAATGAAATCATCTTGATTAGAATCAGATATTACAGAGTATTTATACAGGAAGTAGTCATAGCTAACATAACCGAAGCCTAACAGAAAGCAGTTACATTGCTTTACAAAGAAATACACGTGTAGTTTTCTTACACTATTCCTAACATTCCCCCCTCAAACTGAGGGTGATTGAGTTGGAAAGTCAATCACACTGAGTTTGTTTCTGAACTCAAGAAAGGTGGAAGCAGATAAAGGCTTGGTCAACACATCTTCAATTTGCTGGGAGACTGGAATGTGAAACACTTCAAGCTGTTTGAGTTGGACTTTCTCTCGTACAAAGAAAAGATCAATTTCCATGTGTTTTAAACGAGTATGCAGAACAGGGCTGTGAGCTAGTTGCACTGTACTAAGGTTGTCACAATAGATTCTGGGAAGAGTGAAAGGAGCTTGAAGTTCTTTGAGTAGGAATTGGACCCATAAAATTTCTGATGTAGTATCTGCTAGGCTTCTATATTCAGCTTCTGCTGAAGATCTGGCTACCCTTAGTTGCTTTTTGGACCACCAAGAAATAATATTAGGGCCTAGAAAAATGCATGACCCAGATGTAGACTTCCTGTCTGTAGGATCTGATGCCCAATCAGCATCACAAAAAGCTGTGATAGGTAGAGGTGTTTTTGTCAAAGGAAGAGGTTTGATCAGTAATCCATGAGTGATGGTTCCAGAAAGATATCTCAGGATATGCTTCACAGCTTTCCAATGTTCTTGTAAGGGATTGACCATAAACTGACACACTTTATTTACAGCATAGCTGAGTTCAGGTCTGGTTAAGGTAGCATACTGTAGGGTTCCAACAACAGATCTGTAATGAGAAGGATCAGGAAGAGAATCATTCCCTTCACTGGTAAGCTTACAGGTACTCACCATGGGTGTTTTCACACCCTTGGAATCAGCCATTCCAACTTTGTGAAGAAGATCTCTGATGTACTTGGTTTGGGAAAGATGCAAAAAACCATTAGGTAATTTCCTGACTTGGATGCCCAGAAAGAAATCTATGTCCCCCAGATGTTTGAGAGAGAAAGAAGAATGTAAGGCTTGAATGATTTGTTGTATGACAGTGGAGTTATTGCCAATGACCAGAATATCATCAACATAGATTAGGATGTAGATTTGGATTCCAGTCTTGAGGTAGATAAGAAGAGAAGGATCACTTTTGCTTTGTTTGAAACCAGCATTATACAGAACTGAAGTGAGCTTGTGAAATCAAGCTCTTGGAGCTTGTTTTAGACCATATAAGGATTTATGGAGTCTGCAAACAAGGGAGGTGTCCTTAGTTTGAAAACCAGGGGGTTGAGACATGTAGACCTCCTCCTCAAGGTCCCCATTTAGGAAAGCATTGTTGATATCAAGTTGTTGTATAGACCATTGATGAGAGATAGCCAATGTGAGAAGAATTCTGATAGTGACAGGTTTAACTACTGGAGAAAAAGTTTCTCCAAAGTCAAAACCAAACCTTTGATGAAAACCTTTGGCAACTAACCTTGCTTTGAACTTATTCACAGAACCATCAGGATTTTCTTTGACTCTGAATACCCATTTGCAACCAATAACCTGCTTGCCTGGAGGAAGAGACACTAAAGTCCAAGTATTGTTAGCAATCAGGGCATTGTATTCAGATTTCATTGCTGCAAGCCAAGGTGGAGAAGAGAGAGCTTGCTTCACTGATTTAGGCTTTATATGAGCTAACAGTAAGGTGGGATTAAGTCTAGGTTTTACAATCCCAGATTTGGATCTGGTTTGCATGGGATGATTGTTGTGAGGAGGACTTGGAGGTGGAGGAGGATTAGAATCGGATGATGAGGAGTGAGAGTGGGCAGTGTTATCATTAAATGAATTAGAAGGAGTTGACTCAGATTGGGAGGATTGTTGATGAGGAATTTGATGATCAGTGTTAAACTGAGATGGAGTGGATGAAGATGTAGGAGTAGATGAAGGACTAGAAGAAGAATTTGAACTGTTGGAATTGGATGTAGGAGTGGCACCATTGTCAGAGTGGAATGAAGATGAATGAGAAGGAGAGTGAATTGCTATTGGGGCTGATAAGGAAACTGGGACATGGAGATAAACTGGATGGGGATTGAAAAAGAGTAGTGTAAGGAAATTTGGTTTCATCAAATATAACATCCCTGGAAAGATAAATTCTGCCACAGGGAGAGAGACATTTATAGCCTTTGTGATGAGAAGAGTATCCAGAAAAACACATTCCTTGGAATGGTAATCCATTTTATGTTTATTGTAAGGCCTAATGAAAGGATAGCAGGAGCAACCAAAAACTTTGAGAAAGGTATACTCAGGAATAGTACCATAAAGTTTGAAATGTGGGCTGAGATTTGCAATAGATTTTGATGGAAGTTTGTTGATAAGATGTACAGCAGTGGCAAAGGCAGTGTCCCAAAATTTGAAAGGCAAAGAAGAATGTGCAAGGAGACATAAACCTTTCTCAACAATGGTGCGATGTTTCCTTTCAACAACACCATTTTGATGGTGTGTATGAGGACAAATAACTCTATGATTAATACCTTTTTCAGTGAGAATCTTTGTGAATGATCTGAATTCTCCTCCCCAATCAGATTTGATTGACTTAATGAAGATGTTAAACTAATTTAGGATGTATTGATGGAAGTTTTGAAAGGCTAAGAATGCATCTGATTTCTTTTTGAGAAAGTAGATCCAGGTATATTTGGTGAATGCATCAATGAAGGATATATAGTAAGTGTAGCCATCAAAGGACTGAATTGGAGCTGGCCCCCATAAGTCAGTATAAATCAGTTCAAAAGGAGAATGAAAAACAGTTGTAGATGGGTAAGAGGGTAGTCTGTGAGCTTTACCCAAACAACATGCAGAACAAAAGTCAATAGCATTTTTATTGATATATGGAATATGACATAGATTCAGTACAGACTTAAGGGCCTCAAAATGAGGATGACCTAGCCTTAAATGCCAAATATTACAACCGGAGGTTGACTGAGAGTTATTACAAGTAGATACAAGAGAACTAGGGAACACAGATGTAAGGGGATGAAACTTGGACAGATTTGAAGTAGAGTTGTGAGACCCAAGAGCTGGAAAGGATTGAAACTTGTAAAGACCATCTTCACCAAGTATTCCATACAGCAGAACCTGTTTAGAAACCTGGGATTTAACAAAACATTCATGAGGATGAAATTCAAAAAATGCATTGTTATCCTTGGCAAATTGGCTGACACTTAATAGATTTTTGGTAATAGCAGGAACATGTAAGATGTTGTTGAGAGATAAAGAAAGAGATGATTAATAAGGTGAGGGAAAGGATGAAAAACCAATAGACTTAATTTCCAAACCTTGACCATTGCCCATAAACAGCTTATCAGTGGTAGCAATTGGCTCACTGTGTTGGAGATTGAGGGGATCAGCAGTAACATGGTGTGTAGCTCCAGAGTCTGGGAACCAGTTCTGAGAATTTGGGGGTGGTCCTAGTATAGAAGAGTTTGCACAAGCCCAGGCTGCAGTTGGCACAGTAGGGGATGAATTGAGTTGTGAGAGATGATTACCTTGCTGTGGATAGGGATAAGGTGGTTGGTTGGGTGAGTATCTTGCTATATTTGGAGGAAGCAGTTGGTATTGATTTGAGTAGAGATGTGAAGGTGGTTGTTGGTATTGATTTGGTTTGTATTGAGGCTGGTGAAATTGATTTGAGTGAGAATATGAAGATGGAGGTTGTTGCATACGACGAGAAAACTGTTGTTGCATAGGAAAAGGATTGGTAACAGTATAGGCTGGATTGTATCTGTGGTAACAAACGAGTGCACTGTGACCATTTTTCCCACAAACTTGACAAGTAACTGAGCTTCTACCACCTGAACGACCACCTCTGCCCCTATTGAAACCTCCACGACCTCTACCTCTGTAGGAGGAGTTGATATTAGAGGTCAAACTGAGCAGAAGTATCAAACTGAGCAACTTGAGCTGAAGCATTTTCTGAATTGTCCTGAGCTTCGGTTTCAGTATTTTGAGAGGAAGATTCAAGTCGAGCAACATTAACAGCAAATATTGTTTGTTGCGAGGACTCACGAAGTTTCTTCAGTCGCAATTCTTTTGCTAGCAGAAGACCTTCAAGTTTAGATAAGGTAACAGGATCTAAGATACTTCGCGAGGACACAAATGATATAAGTGACTCGTAATCATCAGGAAGACCTTCAAGGATCACATTGATGTGATCCTTGGTTGATATAGGCTCGCCGACAGAAGTTAGGTTATCAACAATTGTTTGAATACGAAGCAAGTATTCAGAAATAGAACGATCACCTTTCCCGGTGTTATACAGTTCCGATTTCAGTTGACGAGCTCGCGCGATGATACTGGAGCGGAAGAAATACTGAATTTCACTCCATAGCTCATGCGAATGCTTGCAGCAGATGACGCGAGCATGAAGTGATTCTGAAAGCGAAGCTAAGAGCCACGAAAACAACATTTGATCTTGTTGCTCCCAGGTGTTGTATGTTTCGTTAGCTGTTTTCGCTCCATTTTCATCAACTGAAAAACGATCTGGTATCTGAGGACTTTCTATGAATTTGAGAAGTTTATGAGCTCGGATCACTGATTCAACATGATGGCGCCAAAAAAGAAAATTGTTTGAATCGAGTTTAATAGGTAGAGGATGATGAAAAATAATAGGCGAAGATTGATTAGCAATGTGAGAAGATGATTGCGAAGAAGAAGAGGAATCAGACGCAGAGTTCGTCATGGTTAGATCGAGCAATGCTCTGATACCATAATAGAAATGAAGCAAGGTAGAAGCAGAAATGAAATCATCTTGATTAGAATCAGATATTACAGAGTATTTATACAGGAAGTAGTCATAGCTAACATAACCGAAGCCTAACAGAAAGCAGTTACAATGCTTTACAAAGAAATACACGTGTAGTTTTCCTACACTATTCCTAACAGGGACTATAACGCACGGAAACGGCTGGGGGTGGGAGTTTCCCGTATTGGAAACGTTCTAACGTTTCCGAGCGTGGGAAACAGCAAAAACGCGTACCTGGGCCGTTTCTTAATTTTGGGAAATTTGGAAACGCGTTTCTCAGGGCTACCAAGCTTCCAGTCCAGCAGCTTCCAGGTGACGATGGCAGAGCTTCCAGGCGGCGATGTCGGGGCTTCAACCTCCGGCGAGCTGCGAGCGACTGACGAACGACGTCCAATCGATGAGCTCCAGCAGCTACCAGGTTAGGCAAAGCTTCAATCGACGGCGGATAGTGGCGGATGGCGGCGAACGGTAGCGGCGGACAGCGGCAGACGGCGGAACCACTTTTAATTTTTGTTTGGAGCTTGGCAGCCGCACATACAATGTTTATAATTTGTTGAATAGTTCGTGTAACTCAATCACCATATTATTAATAATTCACATACAATGTTTATAATTTGTTGAATAGTTCGTGAAAAATTCACACACACACACACACACATATATATATACATATATAATATTTATTAAATAACCCCTATATTTTTAATATTTGCACGTTTCCCCCGCGTTTCGTGTCCTGTATTTTTGGTAAATGGTGTTTCCGACGTTTCCCGTTTCCGTGCTACTTAGGTCAGGGACTACAGGGCCTAACGGAGGAGAGGGAAAAAGATGTGATACTCCCTTCGTCCCGGTCATTTCTTCCAATTTTGACCAGTATCGCAAATTTAGGTAGTGGGAATAAAGTGAAAATGTATGGTTGTAGTTGTGTAAGAAAAAGGTGAATGAATGTGAACCACATATTTTTTCCAAAAGTGGAAGTTGGAAGAATTAATTGGGACGGCCCAAAAAGGAAAATTGGAAGAAATGACCGGGACGGAGGGAGTACTTTTTTGCTAAATAATTTCGACATTTAGATGGTTAGAATTTAAAAATATAGTGAAGATAAAAAAACTCTGCAGAAATACATGATTTAACTGATCATATAATAGTTATTTATGATCTAAACTAACTAATACAAATAAATTAGTAGTGGAAAAACTTCTAAAAGTTTTATGTAACATGTGTTCACAACCATGTTAGATATCGTGCGGTGTCACCACCCGATTTATTAAGCTAATTCTTAACACACTCGTAAGGCTTTCGTTTTACAGTGTTTGCACCACAAACATTAAGTAACTGCGGAAAGGCATTTCACCTTATAGATTTTACTAAATTGAATTAATTAAGAGCTCTACTTCTAATGTTCCATGTAAATGACTCACCTCTAGTTTTTCTTGGCGTTCTAAAAGCTTGTTTCTTGCTTGGCCAGCTGCTGATGACGCATCCTGGAAAGAGAAAATGCCCCAGTGGTTAGGAAGCCTTTCGAACAAGGATGAAATATAACTGGATAGATGCCGTAGAAAAAACAGGGTACTGATATAGATTTGTATAGATGTGCGTACACCAGCCTTTCGGTATGTTGCTAATATTTCTTCACGTGTCCGAAGTCTAGGTTTTGAATCTGTGCTCTCAAAATCTAACAATCTTTCTCTTTCAGTTTTTGTATCTGTAGGATCAAAAAGAAAAATCACTTACATATCCTTTCTACTTCCTTGTATGCTTACGCGTGCAAGTACTTTTTACCTCTTTTGCTATTTTGTACTTGAGATGATGTGGAAGCCAAAGGTGTGGGCTCATCAATTACAATATCATCTGCATCGAAATAAAACATGCAAAAAAGGAGGGTCACAATTAAAAATGAATATGTATCCCTACAAAAATTAGAGTACAGATTTCCTAATGAGTTATGACCAATATTAAGCTCAACATCTTCTTGTTTATCAGGCACTGCCAAAGGCCACTCTGGGGATGAGGTCCTCATAAAAACTCTTTCCAAATTATCAAACATTGACTTGGAAGTCAGGGCAGTATCCATGTTATGGCTCAATTTCCTCCCTTTAAATCCCAGCACAATGTTTCCGAGAAGATTGGAGCTAGAACCCTGCAATTCCATCAATCAGCATTGGACGAGATGACGAGATCTTCAATTATCATAATTGAGATACCAAGAATTTATATCATTTAACATTACCTGCTTTTTCTTCTGATTTGAGGTGAAGTTTATTGCACTTTCTGCCGCTGCTGCAAGGACTTCATCATGCAGTGAAGGCAGAGACTCTGGAATCCTTTGGGATATAAGCAAAGATAATTTAGCATACGAATGCGAAGTACAAGAATTTGCAAATAGCCAGTCATACCTGAAATCATTTTTACCAGATGCTAGCGAGAGAAATGCAACTTCAGACCCATTCACCTATTGATGAATACTTATTAGGAGAATAGTTCTGACATAGATGAATTTAGAAAAGGATCCAATAAGAGCATAAACATAAGAGAATAAAAGATTTGTCTTTTCACAATATTCTAAGTTGTGTATTGTGTACTTGGCACGGTTTCTAAAAATTGTGAATTGTGTATTACTAACATTGGGTGTTGTTCCAATGAGAATGGTGCTTGCCGTGTTGATGTGTTAATGTTTCATTGCAGTGCAATTTTCACGGCAGCAGAGAAATGAATTTTTTACAAAGCTTCAGTTGCATCTTCTATAGTTTTTCATGTATTCTCAACGATGTTAGGTGATTTAGAACCCTCACATCTCGAATCAATTGCACCATATTCATTCTCATTTCATTCCTAAGATGTCATTCTCATTTGAACAACACCTTATAGTGTAATTTATGCTTTATTATTACCATAGTAATATGCCCGTTTTCAACAGAGCTCATTGTCCTCTCCATATTTGGTTTGAAGTTCCACCTTAGAACAGACATCAATGAGGTCTCCATTGCAACTACGAGATCAGGTAAAGATCTGCAAATCAAAATATTAACATAGAGAAACTAAAATAATGGTGTATAAAACAGAGACATGCGTAGACATATTTTTTAGGGGTAATTTGAGTTTGCACCCCATTTTATCGTCCAAATCGGACTTTGCACCCCGTTTTTAAAAAATCTTTGTTTTTGCACCCTAACCCCATATGAAAAGACAAAAATGCCCATCGATCAGGAATATGTTGAAGGCCAACAGAATTGTTAATGGAGGAGCATTTTTGTCTTTTCATACGGGGTTGGGGTGCAAAAACAAAGATTTATAAAAACAGGGTGCAAAGTCCAATTTGGACAATAAAATGGGGTGCAAACTCAAATTACCCCTATTTTTTTACACACGTCGACTTCCGCTCATACTACACTTATACAGTGACCAAAAGTGTATTAAACTTTAACAAGTAATATGATAAAACGTTGAGGCATTTAACCTAAATATTTGGTGTGACATTAACTTACAACAATCTAGATTAGACGTTATTTTCGGAAAAAGCTGTAATACGGAATATTTGGTAGCAATAGGTGAGATATATAATCAGTTTATTTTTTGAAAAATATTTTTTTATCAGAAAATTTGTAAATTTCCCTTTTCTCTCTTTTTTTTCTTTTATCTTTCTTATGTTCTTTATCCTATATCCTTTTTATTTTATATATGTTCTTTTTATCCATTTTATCTTATCATTTTTATCTTTATCCTATAATTATCTTTATCTTATCCTCTTTATCTTACCTTATCTTTTTAGAAACAATGGCACAAACATTACTTCTCAGCTTTTAAGGATTGGTGGCCAGCAGTGTAGTGGTGGCCGACGGCAGAGATGTCACTACGAAAATCTCACTGTGACCAGAGATTGGGGCAGAGATGTCACTACAGAGGTGTCACTAAGGCCAGCGGCGGTGAGCGGTGGCCACAGTGACACAGGCAGTGGCGGCGGTGACACGGGCTATGGAGGTGGCAGTGACACGGGCTATGACGGCGGCGGCAGTGACATGAAAATTGGACAATGACATGAATATTTCGCAGTCACTTCATATTTTTTCAATTATATAATTATCTTAGTCACATTTTTGTCCAAATATAAATGTGGTCACATTTTTGGAAATCAGCTTTAGTTTAGTAATATTCAGGGGAAACCTCCATCCTTTTATCTTTCTTATCTTTCTTTTTGGCTCCAATATCATGTATCGATTCATGTTAGCCGACCCCAAAATCTTTTGGGACTAAGGCTTGGATGTTGTTGTTGAGAAAATGTGTAGATTATAAACCTTTTTCAACGGCTTGTTATTTCTTTCATATGTATTTGTACACTTTACTTGTAAAAGCTGATTTTTGTTGCACCCGAATGAAATCTATTATTTTCAAACAACTTTTCAGCAATCTTACCCTTCCAAAAAACTGATTTTGATCATAACCGACTACAACAACAATCAATTATACACATAATTGTTTTATTCCTATTTGAAGCAATCTCTTAGTCTCTTTAGATATCCCAAACAAGCTCTTAGCCTTTTTAATATGAGTGAAATCCAGAGTCCCAGCATTCAACGAATTATAAGTCCGCATGTGAATATAACAAGTTCAAGCTTGTCACAGTTTGACAAATCATTTTTTAATGGAATGAATATGTTAGGGACCAAAATACATGTAAATTGAAATTAAAGGGAGAGTTGTTTTTAGTGCCTGCCTGAAACCTTATTTTACTCAAATTACAGAGACCAAAACCGCAATTAACCCAAAAATAAACTATCTCATAAATATTTTTAGGAAGAGTGCTAATTAGCATAAAGAAAGTGTACAACGATGAAAATAGAAAACAGCTACCTGATCTCTATCTCTCCTGTCTGAAAGAGTAATATCAGCCCAGAAACTTCACTATTCACATTAAAAGTAGCAGTCCAACAACAGGGTTTTTCAAATTTGACTTTGCGAATAGACTTTCTGTCTCCCTAATAATCCAAATGAAATTAACCCTTGAAAAGAAATGGAATCCATATAGATTAAAAACGAATATAGACTAACCTGAACTATAGAGTTTTTTTAAACCCGGAAGGCACTAACCTGAACTATAGACTTTGAGGCATATGTGCGTAGCGTTTCTTTACAACATAGTAAAACAAGAGAATCTTTGTGATTCTTTTTCAGAGAGGAGATATCGGCTGAGGAGAAAGCCTCAGATTGTTCACTTTTCTTAGCTCTCATATCCGTAACATGATCTTTTCTCACATCTTCATCCTTGGATGACTGTAGCTGGTTATTTGATAGTGAGGAGACTGTTCTATCACACTCTGAATTTAAAATATAAAAGTGAGAAAATTGCACTTTTACTCCATAGCTATATAAGGTGGATGATTGCTGACTCCGTCTCCTTAATAAGCGAGGTGGGGCAAATAAACCTCATGGACCCCTTCCCTTATTTCTTTGGAGTTCTGAGAATGGTCCTTTAGGATTCAGAAAAGGATCGTTTACGCAACCTAGTTAATAACTTACAAGCTGCATGATATGACTACACCTATAACTGGGAGACTGAGTAAACAATTACCCTATACTCTTGGTATCTAAAGAATCATTTTCCCTAAGAAAAAAATGATTACTACTATTCAAATGCCAACTCATACTATTATTCTACAAAAAGTGATAGCACTTGCCTATGACATACATAGCAATTGCAGTTGATTCCTTCTTTGAATGTGGTTGTGTTGTGCTTGTACTGGCCACTTTTCCATCACGATCATCAATAGCATAAATTTTTGCATCCTTTGTCAACACAAACATTAGTTCTCCTGTATGATTTTCTGAAAGTACTTTTGGGCTTTTCATATGACTGTGATAATGCTTATATGCCTTTGGGATGACTGACACTAATGGAGAACTACCACCAGAAATTGACCCCGTTAAGAACAAAAGAGACAATGAAATCATATCAAGTACCGCAATCTGAAAATGCAGAAATCAAGGTTAAGAATCATTGTCCACTGGAAATGAAGATAAATATAGCATAAAAGTACAATTGAATGGAGCTTACTTGTGCACCTGTGTATCCAATTGTAAGCGTGGCTCCAGAATTTGTAAATTCAAGAGCTTGAATTGGAGAACCAAGAAGTTTTATCACAGCTCTGCAATTAGGTCCTTGGCTATGAGCTAATTCAAGAACTGTGATGAAGTTTATTAAGTTCAAAAGCAAAGCTTACTTCTTTTTGCAAGATTGAAATGTCAAAGAATGGAATGCAAAAGGATGGGGATCTTAAAAAGGAATCTTGTATTCCATCTATTTGTCAGTATTCAATATTTAAAATAAATGACCCACAAGGACGGAACTTTTTAATAGAAATTTCTGACACTCGAAAGTTACCTTCCTGTGTAGTTTGATCAACATAATGGAAATTTGCCCCACCATTTCCTCTAAGTTCATAAAGACGGACCTGCATGTTTAATATGATAGGGAAAGTATAAGACCCATAGTAATTAGCATAAGATAATTTTTAAGCTAAAAGAACTTCCTGACCAGACCACATTCATCGCCAACCACTAATCGTAATGTCTTGAAGCAGAAACCAATCTTTGTTATGGAAGCACTAGAGATGGTTGTGTTTTTTCCTCTAACCTGTAACGGATATGGATAACGTGGTATTGGAGAATATAGCTCTGACAAGCGATCTTGTCTTGCATAAATAAAAAATTAGAAGTTTCAGGCTTCCTAGATGTAGTGTTAGATGAAAAATGATCAATATTCTAACCTCACTTTCGAATACGCAAAGCAATGACAAGACAGGATGTGTGGCATCCCACATTCGAAAAGATCCATCGTGATAACCAGCTATATAAACCCGCTCAATCCGGTTAGCATTTCTTAGGGTCAAATGATTGGACACACCTCCAGTCAAGGCCCAGCTTCTCACACCAGATGAGGTTGCTGTTGAACTAAATTTCTTGAAGAAAGTGTCCTAATTTAAGTGGGAAAAAACCTAAAAATAACAATCTGAAATTTGTGATGTAAAAAGAAAAAAGATAGTGTGCAGAGTATATCACCTCCAACAAAGCCTCAGACAAGTCCACGTCTACGGGTATCTGAAAAAGTTTTGCCACAGTCATAGAAGGATCAACTATATGAAGCTCTGCTGGATAGTCCATATCAGACAGTGATAGTTTCTTCTCTTGTTGAGATAGAATGGGGAACAGACTAGAGCAATCAAAAGCTTTTAGTTGCCCAGGATTTGTCAAAACAAATAGAGCATAATTTTTATTAGTCCCTGTTGTGCCAGCAGATGGCATTAAAATCACATCAGCAAAGGAGCCAGACATTGTGAGATCTACACGACCAACACATTTAAGGATCTCCATTCCAGATGACCATTCAAGCCTAAGAATCTGCAAAGTAAAAAAACAAAAAAAATGACAGAGAAGTGAGAAGTTTCTATGAATCATAGTATCATACAAATAACATCATTGTACTTCCTTCACAAACTATTTACAAACTAATTTGTTGTAATATCTTATTTAGTTTTAAAATGCAAAGTTTATATATTTACAAAATACATCAAAATATATGTTAGACAAACACAATGAATTAAAAAACTATTAAAAACTTTTCAAGAAAACAAGCGAGGAAAGAAGAGTTAGTTTGACTAATGAATAATAAACATGAGGAATATCTATATATCAAATGCATGAGATAATCAAATTAGTTTCACTGGTGAATAGTACACACTCTCATTGTGCAAAAATAAAAACTTTCACTCCTGTCCAATTTTTTCCCTTTCATAGTTGGAAGCAGCGGACGGAAGAACTTTCAATTGAGTTTTTAAAATATGAGGGTTTTAGTCCACAAAGATCCTAATGAGAAAAGATGAGATCTTATTTGGAGTAGCAGTACGCTTCAAGTCAAACACTAATATGACCAGAGACATTTTGTTCATAGAGTATAAGATTAACTTATTTTTCCATCATTTGCAATGGAGCCAAAGATTCACTATTTTTTTGGCTTGGAAATATGATGGAATAAAGCAAAATGACTCACTAAACCAAAGAGAATATTTCGTAGGTATTTAATTTAAACCCACCGTCAAAACCTCTTCAGATCCTATCTCATCGCCACCATAAATAAGAAGTTGACCATCACCCACATTGTGAGATTTACTATTTTCCCACCAATGCAAGAGAATGATAGGGAGTCTCTTATCAGCAGAAGATAGCTGTAACCTAACGACATTATTCAACAATCCATTCTTTTGGCCTTTGCTAGGAGCAACTGTTGTTATTTTCCAGAAAAGAATATCTCCATCTATGTATCCAGCAGCAAGAATGGATCCATCAGAGGATGCCCAACAAAGGGAACTTATCTCCTTTTCTTCTGAAATCTTCAAAGGCTCAACACTATCATCCTTCAATTGGAGGGACTTGTCACCTTTAACAATGAGAACTCGGGCTTCAATGACGTCCCATAATATAATTAGTCCATTGTCATATGCAATCAATAGTCTGCAACAAGAATCATAATAAATTATTTCAAAGATCTATTATGAACTAAGATAACGTCCAACAGTGATCAGGCTATAAATGTCACGGTGAAAAAAATCAACAATTCTGTTAGAGGCGCCAGAAAATTGTTCTTGTAATGCTTAACAAATAACATAACTACGACCAAGTGTGAAGGAAATCCTAATCTACTCCAGAGATCTCCTAATGCGAAGACATTCATACATCTGTGAAACTCAAGGTCATAAACTTAGAACCAGTTATCTTCAGTTGAAGAGAGCATAGTTTCAATATGGAAGAGTTGGATTGATACCTCTATACTTATTATCAAGTCACCCTCAAAAAAGGAGGGAAGATGAATAAAATGAAAAACAAGTGATGAGAACACTTGCGTTCTAGGGACGTAGACCAATTGACCAAGGAAGACGAAGAAAAGAAATAAATAGTAATAATACAGCACATATCAATACAGCGGTCAACAAAAGTAGGAGACATTTAAACATTTATACAATTCCTTGCCTGTTTCCATAAGTAAATGGTTGTGGAAGAACTCCAACTATGGGTTGATGATTAGATAGTGACAGATCAGTTGCTTCTGCAAATTGACAATGAATTGAAAGACGTCAAGCATTTCTGAGATAGATAATGAGATTGGTATATTCCTAACAAAATATCTCATGTTTACAGGAACACCAGGGGGATATTAAGCAACCATCATAACTACTACAGTAAGTACAATAATAATTATACTCCATTCACCCCTTACCAGCAAGAGAAGCTGAGCAATAGCAAGCAGTCATCAATAGCAATAATAATACAGAGTAAGTACAATGATAATTATATTAATGTACCATTCACTACATACCAGCAACAGAAGCTAAAGATATATGATATGGCATTCGGAGAAGCTGTCCATCTTCAACAGAGTACTTCAAAACTGACACAGATCCATATTCATCTCCAATATACCTAAATTACATAAACAGTGTGATGTCGAACAGAATATCACATGATCTCCATATATGAGGTTTAAGAGGTACAAAATCCTAATGCATCGGCATCAATAATCAGTATCATACATGAAATGGGAGCTGCTGATAATGGAGAAAGCAGTAATGTTGGAATCCCACACCAAACAACAAGCAAGAGAGCTGTTTCTAAGACTCCAAACCTACAAAAAATGAAAATATATACTCTAATACTTTTAGTGCTAAAACAGAAGAAAAGGGCTTAAACAACATGAGAAAACAAAAACTCATTAGGTTTATACAAAAGTTTTATACAACACTAGCTATTTAGATACACACAATTAGGACAAGAATTCATTTCCTTTACGTTTCATCCTTTTTACGGGTGGGGGGGGGGGGGGGCTAACATACCTTTCACTAACACAAAATTAGTACCTGAATATCATTGTCATTCGTGATGCTGACCAAAAAACCGTGGTTCTGAAGGAACTGCGAGTATTTACGGTGAATACAAAATAATTATTAACAATATCTGAAACATTTGGGAGATAGCATTTTTAAATACTTCGTATAATTCATCTCTTGAATCACTTCATGCCTTCATTAGCTAGACCAAGGCAATTATGTTTAGCCGTTTAGATACTGGTAGGACTAAATGAGTGTATTCTATTACTTAAGGAAGTGCTTTTCAGCTTTTAGCTTTAAGAAAGTTACAAATAGTGTGTTTTCATATAAACTTACAAATAGTACTTTAAAGCTAAAAGCTGAAAGCAGGTGGAGGGGTGCTTTAAGCAGCTTTTCACTTTAACTATTACGCACAAGTACTTTTTTACCACTCTAACTTTTACTTTTTCAAAATCATTTCTCTTCTCAAACACTATCAACTTTTACTAATAATAATCTCTAAAGTTAATCACTTCTCAAAAGTAGAAGCGAACACAAACACTCCTTAAACTGATTCCTTAGATCATGTCTTTCAAAGTTACTATAAAATTTAAGAATCCTGCTACTGGTAGCTTTATATTTCTCTTAACCTCTGAATTTAGAACCTTTGTTTTTTCCCTTTAAAGCCCTCACAGCTAGATAAAAACTTAGTGTCCCTAGGGAACCTCTACAAATTAAAAGCAGTTAAAGACATATAATACAGCTGTACAAGCTTGATAAAGAATAACTAGGGTGAGGCGTTAGAGTATAGCGGACTCCAGTCAATAAAAAATAGTAAAAGGCATATTTGCCAACATCTAAATTTAAGCTACCTGAGGTTTTAAAGCATTTTTTAAATTAACAACACTGAAGAAATAAAGCCAACACTTTTTAAGTCAACTGGTTATAAACATTACTCCCTCCGTCCCACTTCAAGGTTCCCACGCGGTTTACGATGTTTGACTGACCATAAAGTTAATTGATCCCTGTCATTAATAAGATTATTTTTAGTAAATAAAATTTACATATTCAGAAACTACATTAAAACCGCTACAAAGCCTGATCAAGAAAAATTAAATTTGATAAAAGTTGAATATATAAAGTAAAAGATTAAGAACAATGCACGTTGACCGGAGAATAGTGGACGAGAACCCCTTTGAATGGGACGGAGGGAGTACTTCATTAAAAGAAAGAACAATTTCACCCCAATAACACTGCATTTTGCAGAATAGAAATAAAAAACAGTGGAATAGCAAACTTCAGTGGTGGACTGATGTGAATAAAACCTCCAGGTATTTGTATGGCAATTGCCTTGGGGAAACCAAAAGTGATTCAATATTATCTCCTCCAATTACTTTAATTCTACCATCTCTGCAAAAAAAGAAATTCAAAAGATGCAGTGAAACCTCTTGAAGGCGTGAAATGACAAGCCTACTAACAGTTCCAAAGTAGAACCCAGAAACATCAGACATTAGTAGTATTGATCCCATCTATTATAAATCAAGTATCTCCAGCATGAGATCAAGCTCATATCAAATTAACCATTGACTTGTAAGGCCGGCTAATTTTCCAGCACATGGCAATGCCGGGTGGTAATTTGATTAGAACAGAGTACTACAATTAACTTCTATAACTTTACAGCAGCATTTTTCACACTTAAGAAAATATCAGATTGAAACAGCTTACACTTACAGAGTTCCTACAGCCAAAAGGCGCTGAATTGGATCAATAGCTAGGATTGATGCTGTTGAAGGAATACCATAGTGTACACTAATTTGTAGGTCAAGTTCATTGGATCTTAGGTAATCACCCACATTATGCTGAAAAAGTACACAATAAACCATAAAACTTCCTCAAAGATTTGAATTACAAGGGATATTATGGACTATCACAATAAAGAACAGAGAATAGAGTATGAACCCATGCCAATCCGTTATACCTATTAAGCTACACAATACCGTTCAAACTGGCAAGTGATTTAATAAAACATATTAACTCAAATGGGCTGCTTCCATGGCATTCTAGAAAGTGACTGCACTTCCGGTTCATCCATTCAGTAACATTAAACTTATACTAAATTAAGTACGGAAAATCTCAAATTTTAAAGAGTCTTTCCATCAGATTGCAGCAAAGTCCTGATCTAACTTATGAAACAATCATTGGTAAAATCAGATATATTGTTATACTTCATCAGCAGGTGTCGCAAAAAAGAGTAATCTTAGCACCTCAGTTACAAACGTCCACTTCACTGTAAAGATTAATTTAAGAGAGAATCTAGTTTGCGAACATGGTGTTACAGTGATAATTCCTGTTTTGGCTGAAGAATCCCAAAGCACTAATTTTTAATAGTCGTAATCGCTGATCATCATTACCAGCAAAAACAAGTGTTCAAACAAGCCAGGAAATGATCTCGGGAGAATAAGTCAACATTCGATTTTTTGAAATGAACGTAGATAGTGAGTGATTAGTACCTGAGGGAGACGATGAGTGGCCATCTGGAAAATACGCTTTGCGAACATGGTCGGACTCCAGGGATAAATGGTTCAACAGAGTTTCTGGAATTCACTGTGTCATTCAGATTGAGCTGTCTGAATATGCAAATTTAGCATGGCCTTTGTTTTATATGGGCTGCAAATGCTTAGCTTCTATTTGGCAGAGACAAATTGAACCTTCTTCAGTTATCCATTTCTTTAGCATGAATATATGCTAAAGACCAGTCTGGTCATCTGAACTCTTCTCGCAAAGAGCATCTCCACCCAAAGACGGAATATTAATTCAAAGTAATTCTATTTGGACCGGTAGTTATACCGTGAAATTTTAAAATTGTTAATAATTTTTTTATTTTTGATCCGATATTTATAAAATTTATATCATGTTTTTTTTATTTTTCATGATCTTTCAAATGAGACCAATATTGCCTATGTAACTTTAACATATTAACATTTGCATGTAAAAATATGTAATTTAATTTTTGTCTCAAATTTTATGTGATGTAAATCCTATATATTGAAATGTAACTCGTATTGTTATAAAATGTAATCTCAGTTAACTACAAATGTAACTCACTGTCTGGAATGTAACTCATATTACACCCTCTAGTGGTTCTCTCACCTTTTATACGAAATGTAAACCGAGTGTTACAAGATGTAACTTTTATCAAATTGATATGTAACTCGAGTGTATCCAACATGTAACTTGATAAATTTCGAAATTGTAAGGTGCGTTAATTAAAAAGTTAATTCAGGGAAATCGAAAATGTAAATCATGTTAATCAAAATGTAACTTGATGTTGATACAAATGTAACTCGCGTGTAGAAATATGTAATTTACGTGTAAAAATATGTAACTTCACATATAAAAATATGTAACTCACATGTAACTCAATGATTTTTTATATACACAATTTTAAGATAAATTGTGATTTACACAATTATTTTTTTGTATTAAATTTAGTTCGGTTTTCCTTATAATCCAATAATCATTTATATAATAGTTCCATAATTTGTTAAAATTACATAAGCAATATTGGTCTCATTTGAAAGATCGTGAAAAATAAAAAATGTTGATATAAATTTTATAAAAATCGGATCAAAAATAAAAAAGTTATTACCATTTTTTAACAACAAAAGGAAAAAAAATCAGGCGATCTCCGTCATTTTGGGATCGGGCACAACATTCTCATGGTGCGCCGATCCCAGGATATAATTTGCGATTTGGACCAATCAAATGAATGGTAGGTACGATACCCCATTTTTAAATTAAATGGGTACCGGAGTTGTCAACTTAATTTAAACGCATGACCCAAATTTATCATAAAACTTTATTTTAGTTTTGGACTTTTGGACACGTGTACCTCTCTTATTCTTATTTTTATTCTTTGTTAATCCGGTTGTCTCTCAAAACTTTGTACAAAAAATAATAAAATAAAAACAATCTATAAAAAGATTAACAAAAAACACAAATTAGTTGATTGAGTGGAAAATGTTAAACTTTTTAGGATAAATGTAAAAGTAAATATAACAAGATTATAAAGAATTACGAGAGCAATTTTCAAGTTTCGAAGCATATTTTATGATTTACAAATTTGAATATTTGATAAAAATTCACTTATTTATGTAAATTCAGTGATCTCATATATGTAGTATTTATGATTTTTTTGGAAAATAAAAATTTAAACAAGTGTAATGTTAACTAACATTCATAAATCTAAACACCGTCAAGTATATTACATATAAAGATGATTAAGAGCCATACAAAGTCATCTCAATCAAAATAAATGTAGTTCATATAATAATGCGGATACATTTGATTCATGATTCTTTGGTGCCATTCAATTCTTAAATAATGTAGGAATAAAATAATTTATAAACAATAAAGCAAGAATGTTCACTAAGTTTCAAATACCCTGTTTTCCTAGAGTGAAACATTAATGGAGCAAAAGTAAGAATGTTCATCATACATTATCATTAATGATCATACGATTATAATTGGCAACAACAGATCAGGACAATTCGAAACACCTATTCATCAAATTTAATCGTATAATCGAAATAAAACCACTTTTCTTTCTAGACACCGTCAATTTCGGCAGTGGATTTGACGGAAGACATAGCGCAGATGTTATGTTGAGCTATAGCAGCGGCGGAGACTCAGATGCAAATGGTTGTCGACGAGGCTTTGGAATGACTAGCCCGTACTCCTTTTCGCACAGGGACAACAGAAAAAGCCTGATCGAGACGAGTGTAAGAAGCTGTTCTCTTCGTCTTAATCTTATTACTTATTCCTTATTCTTATTTTATTCAGATCAGATCAGATCAGAAAGATTCAGATCAGATCAGATCAGATCAGAAAGATTCAGATCAGATCAGAAACATTCAGATCAGATCAGAAACATTCAGATCAGACCAGACAGATTCAGATCAGATCAGAAACATTCAGATCAGATCAGACAGATTCAGATCAGAAAGATTCAGATCAGATCATATCAGACCAGAAAAATTCAGATCAGATCAAATCAGAACTTAAAAAATTCAGATCAGAAACATTCAGATCAGGTGAAGAGAACAGCTTCTAAATCTGTCGTATGAAGAGCTTAACAAAGGGGAGTGACAATCCAATTTGGTTAGGCAAAGAGCTCTAGAAAGAGAAAAATGAATCAATGAAGATGAAGATGGTTTCAGATTTAATCAGAAAGAAGTTTTTTTTTTCTTTTAAGAGAGGAGCGACCGTGTTGGTAACATTTTATGTACTTTATTCTGAATGATCACAAATGGGAGAGGTAGATCATGTATAACTAGATTTATGAGCTTGATCATAATAATTATAAATATGGGATAGGGGAGTAGTGTATACTTATAATTTATATTGAATAATTAGAATTCATGCAAGATACAAAAAGATAAAAAGTCATTTTTCCAACCGTCTACCCTCGAAACAGACTCAGAGTTTATCACTACAAAAAATGCAATACGACTCGTTGATCCTATAATAAGCTTAATTAAGTCAATGACGGACGCAATAGACTTTTCATCAACCTAAATTCTAGAGTTCTGCTAGTGGAAATAAAGAAGACAACCAAAACAACATTTAGTTACCCAAAAACTAAAAATAAGAGCAGGATAATTAAAATAAATCCAAACATGAAACAACGTCTTCCAAATCCTAACCACAAGATTCCTCCACGACGGCGGTTCGAGAGGGGGGCGGACTGACAAAACTACATCTTCTTTCTCTCCTTTCTCTCATTCTCACTCATAACATTCTCTTCTACTGAGCAATTGAAAGTGTATGAGAAGCCGTTGTGTAGCCAAGTGTCGCACTTGTTAACAATGGACTTCATGATTTCTTCTTACCATGCTGAACAGTTGAAGATGCACATGTGGACAAAAACAAAGACTGCGCGATGCTGAAATTCTCTGACCGTGCAAGCCTAGAACGGCTGGCGGGAAACTAAATCCTACTTGAGAGAAAGGTTGAACAAAAGAAGAGAGAACTTTCACTCTCTACTTTCATAACAACTTTCTTATATTCCCTTTGCCCTCTATTATTGTCTCAGTTCCTATTCACTTGGTCAACACAGATCATTTCTAATCTCTTATTTTATATATCAAATTTTTATCAATTTTTTTTATCAAATTTGATTAAGGTTTTTAAGACTTTGTAAAAAATTTAATGTAGTTTCTGAATGTATATTTTTTCCCCTGAAATAATTTGAGTGAGAACAGGGATTTGTTTGAGTTCTGAAAAAAAAATCATTTTTATAAGAGTTTTGGTGAGTACCCAAAAATGTATCTCATTTTTAGCTCACCCCGATGTATGGTAAATGGTACTCCGTACGATTCATTTAAGTGTTCGCTAACGAATTACCCCATTTAAGGGGTGGGACAAGCGCACACTCTGCTCCATTGTACGGCTCAGAACGGTTGTTAGGTAGCTCCCCCACTCGGACGGTCAAGCTGTCGACGTTGGTCGTGTATCCCGCCAACACTCGGACGTTGTCGAACAGATTTAGATCATCCAACATACATCTAGAAGCTCTCGCTCCGAAGTCTCACACCCTCGCTCAAGCTTGTTGTCACAGTATCTGGACAAGAGCGAATTCGGAAACGCTAATTTCTCTCTGCTCTGTGCTTGAAAATGACAAGAAATCAAGTGACATTTGTTTCCAGGAACATCCCGGGACTCGAATTGTCTGCCAATGCTCAGAATTTCAAAACGGAACACTGGAGGAACAACTGGATCAGCGTCTCAGGTGCCTGCGGTGGGGGCAATTTTGCCTGCATTTCATCGGTTGGGAAACGCGAGGAGAAAGAGTTCTCTCCGACGCCGGCTCAGCTCCTCAAGCATCCATTTGTTACGCTCGCTTTGACCCCAAAGGGCCTCGCGCTTTTTGCTGCCGGCGCAATAGCAGGAGCCGCGGCTAAAACTGTAACTGCCCCTCTTGATCGGATTAAACTCATCATGCAGGTGCGCGCCTGAAATTGTGACCGATTTTCGTTTTTGGCGTTGTTTAATAATGTTGGTTAGCTTTCCCCTGCAATTGTATGAAAGTTGGCATCTTTGAGTTCCAAATTCTTAGCCAGTGTTATTACCACTACTTCTTTGAGGCCGCTAGTCTGCAATTTTATTAACTGCGAAACTTTCTTTTAGCTTACCACACTTTGATGGATTATGACTTAGTTGATTGAAGGTTTGAGTATCTGTCATTTCTGAAATTTGGATTTTATTTAGTCTTGTAGCAGTATCATAGACATAGAGAAGGCTTTTCAAGATTTTTATTTTAACTGAATATGGACTTTATTTTGCCCGAAATCTGAAAAAAGAACATACCTTTTAACTTGTCTAAGTAATTTATATATAAATAAAACATTCAGCCAAGTGTCTGCCAAGACCAATGTGAATATCTATGTGCTGTGTGATTCATAATGTCATCATGGTACTATCTATTTTCAATTATAAGACTCGGTAATTGCTTTCTAGTGTAATTTACTGTTTCATTTAAATAGAATTTCACTCAAATACCTCATGATGTTTTATTTGGGTGGCTACATTTTCCTTCAAATGAAAATGATTATTCATTTGAGCTTCCTACCTGCTATTACATTAATTAAGTATTGGCTCTAGACTCATGGAATACGAGCTGGGCAAGAAAGCGCAAAGAAAGCAATTGGGTTTGTTGAGGTGCTTATCTCTTTCTTGATTATCTCTCATCAGTACACATATTTAGTATGCATCAGCGTATCACTAAGAATAGCCTCCCTTTTATTCCCCAACTGTTATAGTAATTGCCTGAGATCTGATTGCAGGCAGTTACCTCAATTGCTAAGGAAGAAGGGATCAAAGGATATTGGAAGGGCAACCTTCCACAGGTATCTCCCTTCCATCACCTCATTCACCTTGCAATCTACTTCAATTATTGAATCATACATTTCTATGTATGCAATTGCTCAAGTAGGAGCTTTAGCCTTTAAATTTGAGATTATGATATATTTTCTTCAAAATGGTCAGGTGATCCGAATAATACCATATAGTGCAGTTCAATTGTTTGCTTATGAAACTTACAAGGTATGATTCCTTTTAGCAACTATTGAATTGTACGTCTTGTTTTAGATCTACACCACTTCACCTAAAATTTGGTTAGAAAATATTTAGGGGAAAGAATGGGGAGCTCACTGTGATTGGAAGATTTGCAGCAGGTGCATGTGCAGGAATGACTTCAACTTTTGTAAGTTTTTATTCGGAACTGTCGGATTTTATCCAACATTTTGAATTTTAGCATTGATTGCCAATTGGGATTCATATTCTCAAGAATGTGGCTTTAGGAATTATATACTGCAGAAAATAAAGGAAACTGAACACATGTAGTCAGCAATCATCTTGGCAAACTAATCCTTTATTGATTAGACAAGCTGTTTGGTGGGTACATGACATTATAACAAATGAACCCTATCTTATAGGATCTCATTTACACTAATCTAAGGAAGTGTCTAGTCAAATCCTTCATTGACACACATGTGGAGGCATGTGCTAGACATACAAGTACCCTAGTGCTTAACATTTCCATGGAGAACCAATACAGATGGAATATAACTAATACGATCATGTTTAGCAATGATAACTCATAGAATGGAAGTCCCAATTCAGGAAGAGTCATCCAGTGAGCCACCTATTTGGTGGGTACTGCCATGAAATTAGCCCCTTCAATGTGTACTGTCTTTTGGGCATTTTCTTTTAGCTAATAGTCAGAACATAATCTCATTGTACTATCCTCTTATCCTGGATTTAGATATGTGTAGATTTCATAAATCTGATATAATTGCTCTTCTTATATCGTTTGTATTCATGGAGTCATGAAGCATTATATTCTCACCTCCCTCAGCCCCCATAATAACCACTCTACCTTCTTTCCCCTTTCTCTGTTATGAAGGCATCACTTCATTAATTTTGCTATGTATATCCCCACATTAAATATCTTGTTTGTTTGACAGGTTACATATCCATTGGATGTTTTGAGGTTAAGATTGGCAGTTGAACCTGGGTATAAAACTATGACAGAGGTACGAGAAGTCTATGTTATTGTTGCAGTGTATATCTAACAATTCAACCTTGCATCTTGGCTTTTTTTTTCATTTCATTTGGTGTAGTAACCCTTTAAAATGCTGACTTACATTGGTAATGTTTGAAATGTGATCAGTATGACCATTCTCTTGTCAGTTTTGTTCTAAATCTGAAGAAAAGTGAGTCATGTAATCATATAAAAAACATTTGATCAAGTAAATACAGATGGTTCTGTTAATTTGGTCAGACTTAAGGCTAAGTATTATAGGTCCAGGATCATTAGGATAACGTCAGGGGATGATGTGAGGTCCCCATTGGGGGGATATGAGATGAGAGAATTATTAAGGTATGCACAGCATTATTAATGTGTATTGTATTAATATCTTTCAGGTTGCTCATAACATGCTGAGAGAGGAAGGAATTGGGTCCTTTTATAATGGCCTAGGACCTGCTCTTATTGGAATAGCACCATACGTAGCTGTTAACTTTTGCTTTTTTGACCTGTGAGCATTTTCTTTTACATTCAGGAATAATTATGTTCGTATAAAAGACAGTACAACAGCAACGTCCAAGCCTTCTTCCCAAAAGAGTTTGGGGTCGGCTAACGTGAAATGAAGTATAATCTATATTTGGGTTGTTATGTGCAATTCAGGGTGAAGAAATCTTTGCCCGAGAAATATCAGAACAACACTCAAGTATCACTAGTTACATCATTGGTCTCAGCAGCTGTGGCCACAGTCATGTGCTATCCATTGGACACAATAAGAAGGCAAATGCAAATGAGAGGTGCACCTTACAAGAATGTTTTGGATGCTTTCGTAGGTAAACTGGCATTTAAATTCCTTATTTATTAATGTCAATCTTCAATCTTGTGTTTGAATAAGCTGCATTCAGCTCTCTTAACCAGAACTGCAAGACTTACTAAGCATATCTATTGGATGCTCCCAAGAATAACCATACAGTAGTTATATGATTGATCATATACATGTTCATTTCTGTTATTTCATGTATTCTGAGTTTATTATTGTTGTTATTGTTATTATTATTAAGTGGCATAGATGCATCTTTACGCATTCCTGTGGTTCTCTGATCAAGTTCTTTGAAACCTATTTAGGTATAGTGGCACGTGATGGCACAGTTGGATTGTATAGGGGCTTTGTGCCGAATGCTCTGAAAACTCTACCCAGTAGCAGGTCTATTTGTCTCTTTTGCACACACACGCCCACATGTTTCCTTTTTATCTGAAGGGTGTCATTCTTTTATTAACAAATTATCTTCTTGAAGAATGGTTAACCTCTTCTGGAACACTGCCTCCAAATAGAAATGATGTGAACTGTCAATCTCATTTTCCCAAGAATATAGGCTATGTTTGGATTTGGAAAAAATGCTTATTCAATAAAAGCAAACCCCATGGAAAGTTATTTTCTTTTATTTGGATTTACCTCGGCAAATGCAAAGGAAAATTAAATATGCTTATTGTTTTTGTTTTTATACAATTTTAGATTGGTTACTATTCAATACACACAAATAAACAAAGAAGTTTTCAAACAAATGTTAGAAATAGATTTATTGAGTTTGAACTAATTCTTTTCTCCTCAAAATTTTCTTTATTTCAAATCCCCCCCCCCCCCCACGATCTTCCTCCCTATTTTGTATCCTTAGCATTTTCCGTATTCCAAACAGGCCCATTATAAGGAACATTTGCTTACCCTATCATATCCTAATGTAATACCATAGTACATTTTTTGGGGACCTATTCTGGTATATACGACCTTACCTGTCCCTCATATCTACTAATTAATCCTTTCTTCGCTTTTTAAAGAAATTACTCTTTATAGGAGTTAAAGCAACGTGAAATTCTAAATATGAGCACTATGCGTTTTTTCTCTAAACAGGAGTAATTACTATATACTGCCATATTTTGGTAGTATAATGCCATATTAAAGTCTGGTAATGCCAAATAATTGTAGTAAAATTTCAGTATGACAATAAATTACTCATTTTTTTGAATTTTACATTGTTTGTAATCCTATTTCGGGAAATTTCCCTTTTTTCTCATCTACATATTGTCTAATCCACTTTCAGCATCAGGCTTACAACTTTCGACACTGTTAAGCAATTGATTGCAGCTAGTGAAAAAGAGTTGCAAAAAATCGTGGACGAAAATCGCAAGAGAAAATAGCAATGTTCTGATGATTGCAATTCAAATTTTCAGCACAATATCGATGCCACCATTTTTTCAAGCATTTATTGCCCAGTGCTGCACCATTTCGATGCCACCATTTTCAAGCATTCATTGCCCAGTACTTGTGCTTAACCATTTGTAGAAAACTTAAGGGGTATCAAAGCTCTACTAACTTTTGCTTTCACGATCTGTATCTCTACTTTTTTTAGTAGAACATTCACCTTAGCCCCTGTTTATTTTAGTTTTACTTCTGCAGCTTAATACATACTCGTATGAATTAATACTGGAAAATGCTTCCGAGTATAAAAAAACTCACCAGTGTTACATATGCATGTGTGGCTCATTTCATTTATTTTGATGTGATATGTTGTTTACCCCTGCAATGCATGCATTTTGTGAGAGTATTTGCAAGTATCTTTTTATTTATAACATATTCCATTTATGATTGCTTGCAATATTCCTGCTAGCAAATACTACCTCCGTCCCCGTAGACTTTGCCAAATGTAAAGTACATGAGAAATAGATAGTAAAAACTGTATGGTTGAGATTTGTGCAGAGGAGAGAGAAATGAGCAGAACCAGGCAATTTATACCGTGCAACCGGCACACCATGAGGATGGTGCGCCGATTGCAAAACGACACTGGCTTCATTCAAAACGACGCAGCTGCAGTTTCATTCCATTATTTTTTATTTCTTTTATTGTTAAAAATTGTAATAACTTTTTTACTCCCTCCGTTCCCAAAAATTCTTCCCGGTTTGACCCGGACCGCTTTTTAATGCAAGGCTAAAAAGCCTTTGACTTTCCAATTAAACCCTTGGAGGGTTGGCCGAAAAGGGGAGGGGTAAAAAAAAGTTACTCCTATGAAGAATGATTAAATAAAGTGGGATGTGATAGATGTGATAAAAAAGGTGAATAGTACACTCCAGGTAAAATTTTCGGTTACAACTTCCCTCCTATTTTTGGAGGGACTTTCAAATGTTTTCTTCTACAAATACTCCCATTTCCCCATTGTTTTCCCAACCTCTCATTACAACACTCAACACTTCACACACACGCACACAATAAATGTGAGCATTTATTCTTCCATAAATGGCAGCTGCCCTAAATGTTGATTCCCCTTCACCTTCCATTAATGCTCCTCTTTCATCTTCTTCACCAACCAACCTGAACACAATAACAAATGAGGGTGAGTCAGAAGAAGCAGTCAACAACAACAAAAGTAGGAGACTGTCAAATGTGGAAAGGGACACTATCATGAATCAAATCCTACTCAGTGCAAAAACAGATTGTTTTGGAGTGTTGGTAGCTCAGAAAGGTGTTTTCAGTAAATTGGGAACTGAATTTAAAGTTTCCAGAAGATCCATTTCAAGCATATGGGCGACTGCCAAAAAACAACTTCAGAAAGGGCACCCGGTGGATGTAAACAGTAGGTGGGCTGGTAATTCAGGAAGGAAAAGAATTGAAGTGGATATAAGCTCCATCTCTACAATTCCACTCTATAAAAGGACCAATATGAGGGCACTAGCTGCCGCCACAGGCATTTCAAAGACAACTTTGCACAAATGTTTGAAAAAAGGTATGCCTAGAAGTCACACAAATGCTATTAAGCCTTTCTTAACAGATGAAAACAAAGTTTTCAGAGTACAGTTCTGTTACAACCAAGTTGACAAGTCAAATCCAGGTAAGCCAACATTCCAGAATTTTCAAAATGCGATACACATTGATGAAAAATGGTTTTTCATGTCAAAAACTTCTCAGAGGTACTACATGGCTTTGGATGAGGAGGACCCTCATAGGGTGTGCAAGTCAAAGAGGTTCATAACTAAGGTCATGTCCCTAGGAGTAGTAGGCAGACCTCTATTTTCAGACACTGGTGAAGTACTTTGGGATGGTAAGGTAGGCATATTTTCCTTCATTCAAAAGGTAGCAGCCAAAAGGAGAAGCAAAAATAGAGATGCAGGGTGATGGAAACAAAACCTATAGGTAGCATCACAAAGGAAGTGTTCAAAGACATGTTAATCAACACTGTGTTACCAGCAATTAAGGCAAAGTGGCCAGACTGCTTAAGCAAGGATATTGTTATCCAACAGGATAATGCAAGGCCACACATTTTAGGGTCAGATGCAGACTACATGGCAGCATCCCAAGAAAATGGTTTCAATATAAGCCTGACTCAACAACCCTCCAATTCCCCAGATCATAACATACTAGACCTAGGATTCTTCAGGGCAATACAGTCATTGAAAGATCAAAAAGCACCCAGAAATGTTGATGAACTATTACATGCAGTTAATGAAGTTTTCTATGAGCTTTCACCCATCACTTTGAACAAGGTTTGGTTAAGCTATCAATATGTCATGGTAGAAGTTATGAAGGTGGAAGGGGGGAACAATTACAAGCTGCCACACAAGGGGAAGGATAGAATGATCAGAGAAGGGAGGCTGCCCATTTCTATTGAGGTAGATGTTGGACTTCTAGAAGCCATAGGAGGCTTCTTGTCCCAACATCCAACCTCTTCTACAAGCATACAGGAGGAAAGTGATGGGCATTTCATACTTGAAGAAGATGAAGATGTGCAGTAGCTTGCAAAAATATTTTGGGTTATTTTGTATAGGTCTTTTTTGTCATTTTTGTACAGGCCTTTAGAGTCTGCAAGATGAAGTGTGTACAGGTAAAGCCAACAGACTCATAGGAGTAGCTAGCCCTATATGTAGGAGAGGCCTAGATTTTTGTCATTTTGTAGAGGCCTATTTTGTAGCCCTAACATTTTGTATAGTCAGATTTAAGTATTCAGCATACCAGCCTCTTACAAAGTAAAGCTCAGACCTATTTGGTCATCACAACACCCATACAAGTAAAGCTCAGACCTATTTGGTCATCACAGCACCCATACAAGTAAAGCTCAGACCTATTTGGTCATCACAGCACCCATACAAGTAAAGCTCAGACCTATTTGGTCATCACAGCACCCATACAAGTAAAGCTCAGACATATTTGTTCATCACAGCCCTCATATAGGCATTGATCAGACCTATATGGACAACACAACACCCATACAAGCATTGGTCAGGCCTATATGGTCATCACAACACCCATACAAGTAAAGCTCAGACCTATTTGGTCATCACAGCCCTCATACAAGCATTGATCAGATCTATATGGACAACACAACACCCATACAAGCATTGGTCAGCCCTATATGTTCATCACAACACCCATACAAGCAAAACTCAGACATATTTGGTCATCACCGCACACAAACATTCCATAACCAGCCCACACATTTATCATTACCAATCAAACATCACACTTTCTTTAAGCAGCCAACATTTTGTTCTTTACAAACAATTTCAGAAAAAAGAAGCACCATATTTTCATCATCGCTTCCCCAAAACAAACACTGCATTACACACACAACGTATATGTAAGCCAAGGCAAACAAGCAAGTGCACAACAATAGCCATACACGATGTCACACACAGACAAATAAGATAGAGGAGTCAAACATAGGAAAAGAGATTAAGAGAGTAACTCCCCTGATTGGGAAAGAAGTCATACATCCACGTACGTCCCACATCCTAGATTCCCAGCCGGGTAGAATGACCTTTAGGAAGGCTTCTAGACGAGGACTTTTGCGTATTGGGTGCATTTCAACCTCTTTCCGTCTTTTCTCCTTAGCCTCTTTCCGCCTTTTCTCCTCCTCTTCACTGTCCGGAACCACTAGCTCCATCGGACCTTCATCGTCCCCATGCGATGCCTCTTCGGTGTCCAGAACCACAAGGTCCACCGAAGTTTTACCGTGGTCCACATCGAGGTCATCATCTGGCTCGACTTCACTATCCGACACCATCAGGACGCCCATGCAAGCATAGTATGGACCTTGATCTTCACATAGGGTTTCAGAGCTTGATTCTAGATCCATGGAGGTCGAATGTTAGGTTTACGGATTTGAATCAAGAACAGACGATTAGATCAACAAAATAAGCTAGGGTTGTGGATTTCGGTTCAGAGAAGGAGGGGGGGCGATGCATCGGACACAGAGGGATGAGAGGATGAGGGGAGGCGGTGCATCGCAACTGTGAGAGACAAGGAGAGAGGGGGTGAGATAATGCGAGAGAGAATGGAACGAGAAAAGTAGGGGTAGAGTGTAAGTGGGAAAGAGAAAAGTGAGGAGGGTAAATATTTTAAGGGGTAAGATAGGGTTTTTAGTAGTAGGAAGTTTCCTTATTTAGTAAGTGGGAAGTATTTTTGGGAACAGCCCAAAATGGAAAGTGAGAAGAATTTTTGGGAACGGAGGGAGTATTTGATATCCGATTTTTATAAATTTTATATCAATTTTTTATTTTATTTTTCATGATGTATCAAATGAGACCAATATTGCTTATGTAATTTTAACAAATTATTTTGAAGTTACATTTGATAATATATCATGAAGTTACATCTTCTTCTGCGTGAGTTACATCTTATTGTACGCGAGTTACATCTTAATATACGCGAGTTACATCTTAATGTATGTGAGTTACACAACGAAATAAACCTTTGTTACATCTTTCATTTTTATCATTTGAAAAATAGTGTATGAATATGAAATACAATATACTTATTTTATGTGGATTAATAAAATTTTGTATTAAATTGGCAAAGAAAAAAATTAATTCAATTATAATTGAATTAGTTCAAGATAAAAATAAGTAAAAAATCACAAATAATTAGATATAATTCACACATAATTACATGTAACTCGCGCATAAGAGTATGTAACTCGTGTATAACAAGATGTGACTCACGCATAACAAGATGTAACTCACACATAATAATTTGTAATCGGAGTATAAGATGATGTAACTTCGTATATTATCAAATGTAACTCCAAGCTAGAAGCAAAATAAACAAACTCATTATCTTAAAAACCTCTAAAAACATATAAAAGTGATAAAAAAATAATATAGAAAAAGTGTATGCATATAAAAATATATTACAAAAAATGTATGAATGTAAAAAATTAAAATTACATAGGCAATATTGGTCTCATTTGAAAGATCATGAAAAATAAAAAAAAATGATATAAATTTTATAAAAATCAGATCAAAAATAAAAGAAATTATTAACAATTTTAAGAAAATGAGAAATAAAAAATAACAAAGGGTGCATGGTATAAGCACTGACAGAACCACGAATTAGTTGCTTTAATAGGAAAGTGACAAAGTTTTTTGGGACAATCAAAAAGGGAAAGTTGGCAGAGGCCAATGGGGCGGAGAGAGTATAAAGTTTAAAGTTACTAAAAGACTTCAAATATTTTTTTATTGTCGAAAATGTAACTCTTCGAACCCGTTTGGAACACTGAAATCGACTGAATTGGCCGATTCTGCTGAAATTTACGAAGTTCTGGTTGCATTGGCTGTATTGGCTAATTCTGCTGGTTTATAAAAAAATTATATTTAAAATATATTTTATTAATAAAATAAAGTAAAAACTACATGAAAAATAGCTAAAATAATTATCTACGGTAACTTCAGTCAAAACAACTATTCCAACCTTATTTTTTCTTATTATTACATAATTCATCAAACAGAATCAAAAGTTATGTATTTGGTGAAAACATTGGCTGATAAGCCTGATAAGTCGAAAACATGGCTACCAAACGGACCCTTGGTCATACGTGCTGGTTTAAAGTTTAAACATATTGAATTACAATTTTGTGTTTTGGAAACTGGAGTTTATGCAAGCCGAAAAACAGAAGCAAAGAACAAGCTTCACTACCAAGTACCAAGTTACCAACCATCTATTGTTTGTAAGATATACACAATAAAATGTGGTAAAAACGCATTACAATTATACAATGGTTATCAACATTCAAATAATATGTTACTCTAACATATACTCGGTACTTTCATAAAGAGTGCTAATGGTACATCATTCAATATCTCAATATCGTTGAAGTTATAAATATTCTTTTTTTGAAAGAAATAACTTATATTAAAATCAAACGAACCAAAGTAACAAGCATGTCCCAAGACCTACATTTCATTTTCTCCCAACAAAACCAAAAGTCCATCGGCCCCCTCACGTCATGATCAGACATAGAATAGTCCACCCGGATAGAACGAGACTAATCACTGAAACGGTGAGAGCAAAGATGCTATTAGCGTCTGAGTCAGTCTGATTGCCTCCCAACAGAAACCTATCTAATGAAATAAACCAAGCAAAAACCCTACCCCCTTAGTGTTCGAAATAACAATACCAACATGGTTCATACTCCGTAATTAAACAACTCAAAAAGAGTAAAACAGGATTACATAAAATAAACTTATGGAGCAACCGAATCCATACTTCAAGCGTCATCCTCCATGGCGGCGGTTCAGGAGGGGGACGGGTCATCACCCCTTCATCTTCTTCCTTCAACATCTGAATCTGAAATTTTCCATGCCACTTCAAGCAAAGCCTTCCACTCAATCTCCTAATCTAGTCCGCTCCCAAAAGATCACCGCCACAAATCCTGAATTTTGCTCATCGTGGACCTTCCACCCTCCCTTTGATTGGCATAGTAGTTCGTTGACCTTCTCTTGCAGTCCCTGTTGGAACGTTTGTGAACAATCCTTCTCCACGACCGAGCCTGGATAGTTTCTTCGACTTGGCTGCGTTGAAAATCGTCGAGCGATTGGAAATCGTCGACCCCAAAACTTCCTCAGACGAGGGTTTAAAACCCTAGCTGCGTCGTCCGCTGATGCAGAGCTTATAAATATTCTTAACAACGGCCCTTTGAACAATAAAAGGGTTATTTTCTTTCTAGGAATATTGCTGTAGCATCATTAATCAAGTTATGGTGAAGTTCGTGGGTAATACATTCTGGAGCCTGGAGGAGAATCAATGAAGTGACTTTCATGACTAAAGAGTGAAGAACACACTTTCCAATCATCTCACGCTGTCAAAAAGAATAATAGTAAAACTAGAACTTAGATGTTTTTACTTGAATTGTTTTTCAGTCCCAGACTAGACTAGATTTAAAAAGATCAGACCAAACTAGACTAGACTTAAACCGATGATCAATGACACTGTTCATTGAAACTTGCAAACACTAAACAATACATAGACAATAAGTAGTCATTAAAAAAACAATAAGTTCTGATAATAGCTCAATACCAGACAATACATAGGCAATAAGTAGTCATTTAACATACAATAAGTTCTGATAATAGCTCAATAGTAGAGCAGATAACGTAAAACTAGGAGGATATTGAACTCAATTTCAGAGGAATAGGGGGAATAGGGGAGGAGTCGCTGGAATCCGAATAGGAAGGGTAGGAGTAGTTCTCTAAGCCATCCTCCAAAAAATTGGAGAATCCTAATTTGTTTAAGAACTTGGAAATCAAAATCGAAAATATGAAATAGAAGTTCAAAATTGGTGAAATCAATGTCCAAACTCAGAAAGGAGGAGGAGGAGGGCATTGCGCAGTGTTTGTAATAGTGAATGTGGTAGTGCTATCGATGAGGTTGGAGAGATGGGGAAGTTGGGGAAGTTTTTATTAAAATGAAGTAGAAGGGTAAAATTGGAAAATAATCAGATTTCCTAAAATAAAACCAAATAAATCACAAGCAAGGAAAAAACTTGACTATGTCTTACTTTTGTAAAATTTCTCTGATTTAGTCTCATGAAGAGCAATTTTTTTCGGGAAAAAAGTCTAACAATTATTATTATCAAGACAATCATTTACAAAACTGTTGGACTTGTTAGTCGATTCATGGAGGCCCCCACAACAACTCATTTGAAGGCTGCAAAAAGGATTTTGCGGTATCTTAAAGGCACCACCGAATATGGGTTGTTTTACTCTTCATCTGATGAGTTTAAGTTGGTTGGATATTGTGATAGTGATTGGGGTGGAGATATTGGGTTGTTTTACTCTTCATCTGATGAGTTTAAGTTGGTTGGATATTGTGATAGTGATTGGGGTGGAGATATTGATGACCGAAGAGAATATCTGGTCTTGTACATGTTAAGTATCTTAAGCTCCCCACAAGACTCTTAAAGTAAGTTGGATCAATCAATTTTCCTTTATCATACCTTGATAGCTTTAGTCCACTTTCAACAGGTGTACTTACAGGTTTAGAGTCTTCCATGTTGAACTTCTTGAGTACTTCTCTCGTGTATCCTTCTTGAGTGATGAATATACCATCATCCATTTGTTTCACCTCGATGCCAAGATAGTAACTCATAAGCCCAATGTTAGTCATCTCGAACTCCTTTGTCATGACTTGTTTAAATTCATCAAACATCGTCATGTTATTACCTGTAAAGATGAGGTCGTCCACATATATGCACACGAGCAGTATGTCTCCTTGATGATTTTTCTTGATATATAGAGCATGTTCTTGCGGACATTTCACGAATCCATTAGCTTGGAAGTATTGATCAATTCTACTATTCCAAGCTCTTGGTGCTTGTTTAAGCCCATAAAGAGCCTTATTTAGCCTCAACACTTTACCTTCTTGCCCTTTGACTTTGTAACCTTCGGGTTGCTCAATGTAGACTTCTTCTTCTAGGAACCCATTTAAGAATGCAGACTTGACATCCATTTGATGTATCTTCCACTTGTTGTGAGCCGCGAATGCAATTATCAATCTTATTGTTTCTAATCTAGCCACGGGCGCAAATACTTCTTCATAATCAATGCCATGTCTCTGGGCATAGCCTTTGGCCACTAGTCTTGCCTTGTACTTCTCAACTTCTCCTTTTTCATTTTTCTTGATCTTAAATACCCATTTCACTCCAATTGCTTTATGTTTTGGTGGAAGTGTGGCAAGCTCCCATGTTTTATTCTTCACGATTGACTTGATCTCGTCATCCATTGCATCTCTCCATTTCTTGTTTCTTGTGGCTTCTTGAAAACTTAGTGGCTCACAATCACCAAATAGACAAAAGAGTGTAAGTTCATCATTTGAGTTCAAATTTTGTGTTACCTCGTAAAGCTCTTCAATGCTTCTCATGCGTGGTATTTCTCTTTCATCCGAACTTGGTGATGAAGCTTGAGCTTGAGTGGGAGATGGTGGAGGAGTTGTATTTTCATGATTTTCTTCAACTTCTTCTTCATATTCCATGGGAGGCAAGAGACTATAATCTTCTTTGTCACCAATGCTCCAATCCCATGAGCCTTCTTCATCAAACTCCACATCACGACTTATTATAAGCTTTTTCAAATCCGGATTGTAGAGTTTGTACCCTTTTGAGTGTATCATATCCAATGAATATAAACTTCTCACTCTTGTCGTCAAGTTTTGACCTAGTCTGATCGGGTACATGCGCATATGCAATGCATCCAAATACTCTCAAGTGTGAGACTCCAGGTTTACCTCCATGCCATGCTTCTTGTGAAGTTTTTCCATCGAGACTCTTCGTGGGGCAGCGATTTTGAAGATAGACAGCACAATCCACAGCTTCAGCCCAAAAATCTTTAGGCATATTCTTTGTTTTTAGCATGCTTCGAGCCATGTTGAGGATCGTCCTATTCTTTCTTTCGGCAACACCATTTTGCTGTGGTGTTCGTGGGACAGTCATGGGACGGCGGATGCCATTATCTTCACAAAATTGATTAAACTCCTTTGATGTGAACTCTCCACCCCGATCTGATCTCATGGCTTTGATAGTGTACCCACTTTCTTTCTCAATAAGAGCCTTAAATTTCTTGAATGCTTCAAAGGCCTCAGATTTTTGTTTAAGAAAATATACCCATGTTTTTCTTGAGTAATCATCGATGAAAGTGAGAAAGTACTTACTTTTACCATGTGAACATGGAGTAATAGGACCACATAAGTCGGTATGGACTAACTCCAATGGTTCCTTAGCTCTTGAGGTAACTTCTTTAGGGAATGGTTTCCTTGATTGCTTCCCAAATAGGCAACCTTCGCATAGCTGATCAGGATGATTGATGAAGGGCAAGCCTTTCACCATGCCTTTGAATGATAGCATTTTCAAGCCACCAAAGTTTAAGTGCCCATATCTTAAGTGCCAAATCCATGACTCATCTTTCAAGCAACTTTTTAAGCATATGGCTTGATCTCTTTGAATGTCAAGCAAGAACATTCGGTTTCTAGTCATCGGCACTTTAGCAACTAGTCTTCCATTATTGTCTCGTAGAGAAAGACTACGATTCTTTAAGTGAATATCATAGTCCTTTTCTAAGAGTTGTCCCATACTTAGAATATTTGTTTTTAAGTTGGGCACATAGTAAACATCGGAAATGAATTGGTGACTTCCATCGTTTAGACTGATTAGAACGTTACCTTTACCATTCACCACGACTTTAGACTCATCTCCAAAAGTAACATGACCTTGAGTTTGTTCTACCTTCACGAACATGCTTTTATCTCCCGTCATGTGGTTGCTAGCTCCGGTATCTAAATACCACGTGCTCTTCTTTGTTTGTTCTTCATGATTTGCCATCAACAAGGTAAGTTCTACCTCATTATTCATCTCCATGAGATGGGCCTCTTCTTTCACATGATTAGAGCGCTTGCATTCATATGCATAGTGGCCATATTTATTGCAATTATGACACTTTAGTTGAGACTTCTCGTACCTTTGTGGTTTGCTTCCTCTCCCACGGCCTCTAGATGCTTGCGTATATTGAATTCTTTCTTCATTGTTGAAGTTTGTATAACCACGACCTCGACCACCTCTTCCACGTGCACCACGTCCTCGATCATAACCACGACCTCGTTGGCCTCTTTCTTCACCTCTATTCTCCCCTCTTTCTTTAAAAGAGAGTTTGGAGTAAAGAGAATGCTCCAATGATTCATCAGATTTATTTCTCACAACTCTTTCTTCATGGACTTGTAGTGAGCCCATAAGTTGATCAATGGTCATGGACTCTAAATCCTTGGACTCTTCTATGGCCACCACAATATAATCATAGTCTTTGGTGAGAGAGCGAAGGATTTTCTCAATCACCGTTATGTCCTTTAGTTCCTCACCATTCCTCTTCATCTCATTTACAATTACTAACACTCTAGAGAAATAGTCGGATATTGATTCCGAATATTTCATTTTAAGTTGTTCGAACTCACCTCTAAGAGTTTGAAGACGAATTCTCTTCACCTTGTCAACTCCCTTGAAAGAGTTATGTAGTATCTCCCATGCTTCTTTAGAAGTGGTGGCATTTGAAACCTTCTCGAACATGGTCTCGTCTAAGCATTGATATATGAGAGTGAGAGCTTGTTGATCCTTCCTCCTACTCTTTTGGAGACTATCCCTTTGGGATTGATTTAAAGTAGCATCATCTTGAGGTTCCTCATAACCTTTCTCAACAATCTCCCATGCATCTTGAGATCCAAGCAAGGCTTTCATGCGAATGCACCAACTAGAGTAGTTATCTTTAGTGAGACGAGGAAATTGGAATGGAACTAAGCCGTTGGAATTCATTTTTCTTGAAAGGATTGATGGCTCTGATACCACTTTGTTGGAAGAAAGTAGTTGATGAGTATTATATTTGGGTGATTGTGTGTGGAAGAGAGAATTTTAGAGAGAGGTGATTTTAGAAGAACTTGGAACTTGTATTGATTTGGAGCTTTTGGCTTGCTTTACAAATGAGTGAGGAGTGCTCTATTTATAGGTCTCATAGGATCCTTCTAGGCACTCCTACTTCCTTAACCTTCTAGAATATTCTATAGGATTCTAGCTTAGGAATAATCTAGAATTGTTTAGGTAAATTAACTACTCTAGATCTTTCTAAGTCTATCTTATGGGCTAGCTAATTTATTAATTATCATACAACTTCTAGCCCAATAAGTTAACATCTAATGGACCCAATTATTGGGCTAAGCCAAGTTTATATTCTAACAAAAACAACCAAAGCAAGTAAAGATATACATTTCATGAGGTGATAAATTAGTTTTGACACATCGTCTTTGTTTTTTGTTCGCACCAAGTGATTTCAACTTTGACGGATTAATACTTGAACTCAAAAAACGCTGTGAGCTCATCTTCTGCAATCGGTGCACACGCATTTCACTCTCCAAATTTCGCGAGAAGTAGTAACCCCGTTTACATCATTAGTTTACTCATTGAAGCAGCAAATATCCAGCAATAGTATAAATTGAAGGAATTGGTGAAGACATGGGTAGTTTTTTATACTCTTTCTCTATTAGAGTTTCACCCGTTTGGTGAACCTGTTTTTCGGCTTATCAGGCTTATCAGCCAACTTTTTTCACCAAACACGTGAATTTTGATTTCGCGCGCTGAATTGTGTAATAATAAGAAAAAGTAAGGTTGGTGCTACTTTTCTGGTTGTATTGGCTGAAGTTACTGTAGAGGATCATTTTTTAATATATTTTTTTCTTTATTTTATTAATAAAATATATTTTATATATAATTTTTTCATAAACCAACAGAATCAGCCAATACAAACACTTCAGCCAGAAGTTCATAAATATCAGCAGAAACAGCTGATTCAGTCGATTTCAATGTTACCAAACGGGCTCTCAATTTTTCAGAAAGCTCGAAAGAGTATTTTTGGTTATCTGTGAATGATTCTTTTATTGTGCTTTCAAAGTAGTACATAGTATATGTTTCAATTATCAATTCCTTAATTAAGATGAGTTTCGGTCATGTAATCTCCTTCCAAGTGTCACTATAGTACTGTCATAGAATACAATCACCAAATACTCAACATATGCACGACCGAACCTATAAATGAGGCAAAGAGGCAATTGCCTCACAGCCCACAATTGTGGGAGAAAATCAAGGCCCAAAAAATATTAGCTACCTATATATACCCATAATACAGTATGCCCAATTTGAATTTGCCTTCGTTATGAGCTCTCGCCAGCTCGACGCCTCTCGCTTGCAACTTCCTATATTCCAACCTCAAGTTTTGAAGAGCTCTCCACTCTAGATCATTGTGTATTAGTGTTTTTAAATGTCAGTTTTTTTGTGGAGACATCAATAATGTAGTTGCTATACCGTGAGAGTAGCCCACGGTGAGCATACTGCTCCAGGGCTAAAAAACGCGTGTTACTGTTCATGCGTGTGAACAATAACTTCTTTTTTATTTTTTTCACTATCTCAGTCGAAAAACGATGTAACTCGCGTGTAAAAAAATGTAACTCACACGGATAAGAAATGTAATTGCAGGCAAGTCAGAATGTAACTTATCTAATACGAATTATTAGAAATAAAACATTTATTTCTGATGGAGTATATGGGTCTGGACCCCAGGACCCACATACTCAAGAGGACAGAAGACACAACTGCCACATAGTGGGACCCTCGTCGGCCAGATGACCCTCATCGGCTGGAAAGAAGTCAAACCCAAAATATGATCCGGAAGCCAGAAGAACCGGGTGACCTCATCGGCCGGGTCTTCGTCGGCCATGTCCTCGTCGGCCGTGACCCTCGTCGGCCATGAAGGACTCCCAGAACAGGATTCTGTACTTAATCATTTGTATACTCTATCATTTACTTTGTATTCGGCCCAATAGCGGTCCAGTTGTAAATGGGCCTTCCAAGTCCAAGACTTGGGAGCCCAGTCCTAATTTTTCCTATAAATACTTCCTTTGGGAGTAGTTATGGGGATTCTGAGAATTCATTAATACAGATCAATTATACTACTTCTCTCTCTAGCTCTCACTTCTCTCTAGATTTACTCTATCAATTTCCATGAAAACAAGGAGTGTAATTGCTCAATAATGAATATATTTTGTTTTTAATATTAATACCATAATTTTTATTTTTGCAAAAAAAAATGCCAAAAAACCCTATTTTTTGCAAAACAATGATTCTTTGGTTTCAATAGTAGGACTTTATAAAGTTAATTTAGTTTTAATTTAATTCGTTAAAGATAAAGATAAATAAAAAATCACAAATAATTAGATATAACTCGCACATAATTAAATGTAACTCACTTTGCTACAAATGTAATTTTCAGTTAACAAATGTAACTTGTGCCCACAAATGTAATCATGTTACTCCTTCTAATAGTTCTATCACTTTTCATATGTGAAATGTAAACCGCGTGTTATAAAATGTAACTTTAAACATATGGAAATGTAAATCGAAGGTATGTAACATGTAACTTGAAAAATGTAACTCGAGCTAAATAAAAAAATGTAAATCGGTTTAATTTAAATGTAACTTCAACCCAATGGAAATGTAAGTTGTTTTAATAGAGATGTAACTTGAGCCCAAATAAAAGTATACTTGTTTATTAAATATACATACTCCATATGCTTGGTATAACGAATACAGTCGTATATGCTATCTTTCAAAGCAAAAAAAAAACAATTGTAGATGCGATTAAACTCAGGCACTCTAAGTGGAGGAGTTTTCCGCCAAGTGATCCTCATCACTCGACCAGGGATGGATTCCGGGCGAGACAATATGAAGTTAGGAGAACAACGGACAATTTCAATCTGAGATGGAACGATCATGGTCGGAAAGCTACTGTTTTAATGCGGATGCGGAGTAACAAGGAATTAGCTACTGTTCCAGCGCGTCGCTCCCAAATGCATAGCAATTACATATGCACAACAAGGACGAAGATCGAAGCCAAGCAATTCCAGATGTGGAGCAATTCCAGATGCCGGCGGACTCCCCTAAACTAAATCGGTGAACTTTGTATTTTAGTGATGCAAGACCTACGATTTGCTATTTGTTTTAATTGAAAAACGATACCGTTTTAGGATCGGCACACCATGAGCATGGTGTGCCGATCCCACACTATAATTTGCCTCAATAATGCACTATTTCGTTGGAAAGTGAAAAATGAAGTTTAGGAAATTGCTATTGATTATATTTGTTTTGAGACCATTGGATTCATCATCCATGATCCATACATTTAACTCATAAGTTTAGGTACTTTGCTATTTATTTTATTATAGTAGTACTAAAGTGTTTATGTTTTATTGTTTATAATTTTTATGATGCTTAAGGGCCCTTTTATACCAGAAAAATGCTAAGAAGTACAAACACACTTACAAAAAAATTTACGAATAAGTGATATGACTATTCTAATTACCATTGATGTAAAAGTATTGTAAATGTGATGTGATGTGTTAAATAATGTAATCATGCCAATGTCACATACCCCTTTCGTAAGACTTTTTGTAAAAGTGTTTGTACCTCTAACATAACTTTTTATAGCATTAGACTCGGGCCAAAATTGCTTAGGATCGGCCAAATGATTTTTCGTTAGCTTTATTATATACTCCGTAGTATATATGTGAAAGAAAAGCAATAATTTGTGGTAATTGGATGTAAGGTCCTAATAAGCCATAATGCTGATTATGACGGCATGGTTTGAAAGTGACAAAACGAAAAGAACCTTAATCCATTTATAATGCTCCAAACTCCAAATTCTAATGCTGATTAAGGAGGTCAAGATCAATTTGTAGGGTTAAAGCTGGGAATGTGGGATTGGGGAAGAAAATTAGAAATGTAAAATTATCATTTATAATTTTATATCATTCATCTTTTTATTCCAGGAAGATCCGAATCGCCTCTTGAACCATGATGAACCCTACTCTTGCACATCAGCAAACTATCAACGCAACATATACTGATTAACAGAAAAATGTCGTCTTTATTACTCTTTAAAGCCTCGCGCGGTTCGCGCAGTACATCGAGACAGCTTACGCTCGAACTCCTCTCATTAAAATGTTGCCTTTGCTCTTCACATTTGTCTGACTCCACTGATCTTCTCAACCCAAATCCTTATCCCCAAACCCCAATCATCAAATTAAGTTTCAGTTTTAAAATCAAGAAACGCGATGGGTTTGCTAAGGATCAATTGAAATCCATACCATGGTCTTTGACAGGAGAGAATGCTCGTTTCTTGAGTTCACATGCTGGGTATTCCGTAGATGATGAGCCTTCTACAAGCGATGGGCTTACAGTGGAGGGAATAATTAGAAACAATTGGGTTGTTCTTGATGAGAGTGAAAGCGATTGGAAAAGTCATGCTTCTTCCATTGCTCTGTCCATTCAACTTATCAAGAAACGCTTAAAGGTATGCTTATAAATTTAGGCATGTGCATTTCTTTTTATGCTGAAGAAGTGATTTTTTGCTGAAAAGTAGTCTCATTCCCTCAAATTATTGGCTACTCCCGTGCTACTTTAGGATGCAATAAGTTATATTTTAGCACAAAACAAGAGTACTCCCATATGTGCATATGACTTGTGTTTTACTCCGATTTGCAGTAGAATATCTTTAACTATTTTAGGTGCACCTTTTTCAGTTTGTTGTTTGTGCTGGCTTGATTTTTCTCGGCACTTCTTATTAGTCGGTTTAATGTGCAGTGTTGTGATGTGTTCTTTGTTTAAAATAAAGGGAGGGGGGTGTTTATTTTCTGTCAGTGCATTGTATTTGATTGTAAATAGTTATTTCATACACCGGCTTCATTTTTTTTACAGTGGAAAAAGCTTATTGATAGGATTGAGGTATTATCAGCCGAGCTCAACAAAACAGATCTTTGGGAAGATGCTGTTAGAGCAGGAAATTTAAGCAGGGAACATGGCTCTCTGACAGGTAAAATGGAGGAGGTCAAGGCATTTGAGCAAGAATTGCTTGAACATGTTGATATGATTAAGCTTGCTGAGGAAGAGAATGACAAAGATTTGCAATTGGTGTGTCCATGAATCTTGTTTTCATTGAAAGGGAAAATGGCCTAGATAGGAATAAACCACAACACATTTCTTCAAATAGGACTATCAATGCCCCCCCCCCCCCCCCCCCCCCATAAAATATGACTCATTTACTCCCAAAAGAAGAACTATTAACTACTTGAATTCATATTTTAGAACTGAATAAGTTATTTTTTATCACAAAACAAAGATACTCTTATCTGTACATGACCCATGCTTTATTATTATTTGCAGTGATCTCTTTTTATATACTAATCAGTAATTGTTCTTTAAATGAGAAAGTTCAATAACTATTTGCATTTAACCAGCTATTTACTCTCGGGATGACAGGAATCACTAACAGCACTAACAAAGATTAGAAGAAGACTAAAAGAAAAAGAACTTGAAGCTTTACTGTCAGGGGAGCATGATTCTTGCTCTTGTTACATCGAGGTCACACATAACTGAAATTTTAGCTTCTCTTTTCTGCTTATACGTAAGTATCGACTGTCAATTTCTCCAAGAGTTAACAGAAGAGTTCTTATCTTTAAATCAGGTTCAAGCTGGTGCTGGTGGTACCGAGAGCAATGACTGGGCTTCAATGGTCATGCAAATGTATAAATTATGGGCTCAGCGTCGAGGATTTGAAGTTACTGTAGTTGATGAAATGCCTGGTGAAATGGCAGGAATAAAGGTGTAAATGCTTACCATAATTTTCTGTCGACCTATATACGGAGTTTATCAAAGTAATGCATGTTAGATACTTTGAATCTTACTAATTCATGATAATTTGGTGTTTTTTGATGATATGTGTTGAAGTCCCAGATTGGGAAAGTGATACGTAATAAGACATTGAGTTGACCTTGCTAACATATTAGATTCCATATTTTAGTGTGATTTGGTCAAGTGTCATATGACCTTGGGTTAATAAGACATTGGGTTGAACTAGCTAACAAATTGGTCGTAAATTAACCACCAATGGTCCATATTACTTCAGCGTAATCCATTCTAATATCTTTAATCATAAGAATAAAGAGAAAATGATGGGTTAATAACACGTTGGATAACACTTTAGCTTGAACTAACTGTCTAGCTAATCCATTCTAATATCTTTAATCATAAGAATAAAGATATTATGATGGGTTAATAACACTTCGGATAACACATTAGAGTTTAGATTGAACTAAATGTCTAGCTAATTAATTACTATCAATGTATAAAGAAATTATATGAAGTACTGTTTTATGGGAGAACATACACATCGATGTTGAATATATAGTGAACCTTGGAGTTTCTAATCATTTCTTTATCTGGTCTCTTTGTAATTTCCAACTCTAGGATTAAGCTGCGTGTTATTGTTCTGATCTTACAATACCACTGTTTCTCAGCGCGCAACAATCAAAGTTGATGGTGAAAATGCATTTGGATATGCCAAAGCAGAAGTAGGAGTGCATCGCTTAGTACGCATATCACCATTTGATAGTGCTAAGCGGAGACATACTTCATTTGCTGCTGTTGCTGTAATACCCATTCTAGGTGATGGGTCTACACGGGTTAAAATTGAGGAATCTGACCTTCGGATTGAACGGTTTCGGGCAGGAGGAGCTGGCGGTCAACATGTGAATTCAACTGAGAGTGCTGTGAGGATTACTCATGTCCCTACAGGAATTACTGCTTCTTGTCAAAATGAAAGGTAACATATGTTTTTAGCAGTTTGGGTTTAAAACTTTCAAAAGCCAATAATAACACTAAGATCGGGGTATTAATTGTGAAATTGATGATTTATTACTTTTATGAAAGTCATATAATGAGTTCAAAGGGTGTTCATTTGATTGGATCAGATTTTTACTATTAGATTGATCATCTAATAGATTTAAAAATTTCAAAAGCTGGTAATGATTTACACTAAGATCAGAGGCATTAATTGTGAAGTTGATGATTCAATACTTCTTATAAAGTCGCATAATGAACATGAAAAGTGTTGATCGGATTTTTGGACAAATTTGACCATTAAATGGATTCAATATGCTTAAGAGCTAGTATTCAATGGCACTAAGATCAGATGAATTAAACTGAGTCCTAAGGATGACGATTCAATACTTCGTTATATAATTTCTATCATGAGTATAAAGGGTGTTGTTAATTGAGGTGTATCAGGATTTTAGGACCCAGATTGATCATTATATAGATTGATTTTCTTGGAGGGTGGGTGGAGATATAATTTGATCATTATATGGTTTTCATACATTTATAATGAATTACATTAAATTTTATATCCATCCCACCCCCCAAGAAAATCAATGTATAGGAAATAAAGTTAATAATTAAGCGCTCTTAGCTTTGTCCTGTAATCAGGTCACAACATCAGAACAAGGCTTCTGCCATGGCCGTGCTTCAGTCTCGGTTGGACCAACTTGAGATGGCTCGTCAGGCTCAAATGAATTCACAGCACACGCAATCTCTCACTGATATTAGCTGGGGCAATCAAATACGCACCTATGTACTCCAAGTATGCACACTACAATTTCACTCATGCTTAGTCTTATTTAAGCCACTCCAAGAAACCATCACTAGGTGCTGATAAAGCACTTCATATGTTTTCTTGCAGCCGTACCGGATGGTCAAAGATCTCCGGACTAATTATGAGGTTTCAGACCCTGATTCCGTTCTTGAAGGGGACCTGGATGACTTCATCTTGAAGTACCTTTCAGTATCATTTGAAGGATAGCAAATGACCTTTCTACCCCAATGAGTGGATCCTACCAATTGACGGCAAAGTTGGCTGAAAAGATTATAGCGACCATTATAATGGTAGGATCCATTCAGTAATTCCTCAAACATTCAAGTTTTTGGGTATTTAATTGTTATAATTTGGTCCTTGGACAAATAATTGCTATCTGTCCTCTTCTTTCCCTCCAAATGGCATTGTTCTCTTACATCCATCCAATACATGTTGTTTGGAAGCTTACCCTACCATTTTGAGAGTTTATCCAACAGAAGCAAAGAACAGAAAACATTTCAGCGACCCCGGTGAAGTACGGGAAATGTGAAGAATACAGCTGGTTGGTTGAGTCTTACGGTATAAATAGCACAACTCCCTCCGTCCCGACTGAATCTTGACGTTTGCTTTTTGCACGTGTTTAAGGGAACCAATTAGTATGACCCTTTGCCTTTTGTTACTCAGCTGAGAGGGAGGTTTCCTGCTGTCTGGACGGGTGAACAGTACTAGTCAGTGAGAGCTGATTCTTTATACAATTATACTGGTTGGGGCTATGGATGGACTCGGGTCCGGGCCGGGTCCGGGCCGGGTCCGGGTCGGGCCTAGGCCCGGGCGGGCCGGCGGGTCAGAAATGGTGGACCCGGGACCGGCCCGGGTAACCACCGGGTCTGGTCCGGGTCCGGGTCCGGGCTCGGCCGGGCCGGGCCCATTATATTTTTTTTTGTTTTCCTCTTCCTAATTAACCCCCCTCCCACCCCCAACCCCCCAAACCACCCCAAATGGCCCAAAATACCCAGCCCAACCCGAAAAGTTAAAAAAAATTGAAAAAAAAAAAAGTTTTTGGCCCGAACCGGGCTCGGGCCCGGCCGGGTCGGGCCTTGTTTTGGGTGACCCGAGCCCGGACCGGAAAACCCACGGGCCGGGCCTACCCGGACCGGTCACTGACCGGGCCACCGGGTCGGGCCGGGCCGGAACAGTACCGGTCCCGGGCCGGTTCCGGGTCGGGCCACCCGGCCCAAGTCCATCCCTAGTTGGGGCAAATTACCACCCCTTTTGTGAATCCATTAAGCATAAATTATGGAGAGAACTAGTAATATTGGAGGGAAAGACTAAATTAAGAGGGAAATAAAGAACACAAATTTTGAATTTTTAACTAAAACTGAAAGTTCAGTCCATATAAGAGCAGTTCGCTGACACCGATAAATAGGCTACACGGCCCATATGATACAGTGTTTAGTCCTTGTACAAAATCTACTTTCGGAAGTTCACAATGAAGATAAAAAATTAAAGGGAAATTACCCAAAATAGGAGCAAATGACATTTGGAATTCCAAAAATAAGATTAGTATATTTTTCTTCCCGAAATAGGAGTTATTACTGTCATGTATGAAAAATACTGCCATGATTGAAAATAATGTTATTAATTATAATAAATACTGTCATTTTAATGCATTGTACTTCAATTATTTGGCAGACACGACTACAAGATGACAGTAAATACTGTCATGTTAGTCTCATTTCGGGAATAAAAATAAAGTAGTCTTATTTTGGAATTTCAAACTTCATTTACTCCTCATTTGGGAAATCTCCCAAAATTAAACTGTAGAAAGAAATCAAATCACACAAATTATAGTTCATCACTTCTTCAGCTTCATCATACACTGGTATCACAATTAAAATCACATGTTAGCGCGCATAGGCATCTCGGACATCTCTTTGATTAAATTAAAATCCCAGTACAAAAAGTTGAAATATCAATACAGATAAAATTACAACACATAAAGTGAGTAGATAAGGTTACATGGGCAGGCAGTAAAGGGAACCAAACTTCGAGTGCACTAGGAGAAAAAACATATAGTGCATAAGGAGGGGCATCGTTCTTTAGTTTTTGTTCAGTTGTACCTACAAGATTGGGAAAAATATAAACAAGAACCTGTAAAATAACACAAACTTACTCCAACTAAAGCTATATGTGCAGTTCCTATTAAAGAAAGAAAAATTTAAAAACCTCAATTGCACGAACATATAGATCGACAATCACATGTAGATCGACTAAAAACTTACCGTTCCTCGGACGTATGAACACATACGACAACACAAGAGAGATAAAGAAAGACTCAACCTAAACCATCAAGATTTCAGAACAAGTGAAGAGCTAAATCAAGAAAGACTAGATGAATATTCTTTAGATGGATGAAGAGAAGATGAACATGTCAAGAGAGGGTAGGTTCATATGCCAAGAAGATAATAGGGGTCCAAAAACATTGCACTTTTTTTAGTTCACAACAAGGGAGAGTATAGTATTGGTTGAACTTGTGGGCTTTTGAAATTGGTATTAGCAATTCTGCAATAAAGCTAGTCACTGGTTATTTTGACTTAGTTTAAGTTAGTAGTATTAATGTGATAGATGATTCTCAAATTAAATCTTAAAAGTGTGCAGTTCCCTGCATTATTGTATCCTCGAATTTATATAGCTCGGTTGAAATGATTAAATTTTAAAGGTGCATATTTTGCACATTTATTATCGTTTTCACTAAACTTGGCAGCTTTGGTGTTAAGGCATATCATTTGATACAAAAACTCAAATTGATTTGTAGTAGACAATAGTCTCTCTTTCTATGAGGTCAACCTCTTGAATGGAACTTTGAGTATTCATGTGATGTCAGAATCTATTAAACGAAAGTGAGTGTTTGGTCTTGGTCTTAATAATGAGTACATAGAGTTTGAAATTGGTCAACTTCATATGGCTTTGGGCTACCTCTTTGATTGACGACCACCCTCAAAGTAACAACTCAAATCGCTGACCATGTATTGAACAAATTGGAGGCTATAAACATCTCATCGGTCTTTGTATATTCTTCTAACCAAAGACATCATGTGAAAATAAAACAATGAACGACAATCGCGGCTACAATAATGGTACCATTATTCGAAAACAGCGAACTGCTAATCTACCATTGCCACATCCCACGATACCGGTGCAACCCCTAAGAAACTGAAAATCGGTCCTATCTTCTGGTGATTAATTTAAAAATGTTTTAAAAAAGCGAAAGTTTTCATTTGCAAACTCACTTTTTTTTTAATTTTTAAGTCTTTACAAATAGTTTATTTACTTAAGCTCCCAATTTTTGTTGTTTAGTTTACGCATAAGGATTTTAGTTTCTATTTTCATTGGATTATTTTTGTCCGGATAGACTTTTTTGTTTTTGTTTTGGTGTCTTACTGTCCGACAAGCTCAGAATATGATAAGTGACAAAGATACTAAATCGATCATGGTGAGCTTACAATTGCCCGTATGATATTAATCAGTCGTATTGCTAATGATGAAATTATGTTTTCTAGTCTTACTGGTTTGTCTCTAGTTTCTAATCTTGACGTTACCAACTTGGATTCTGATATTACGGAGTATAATACTCCCTCCGGTCCTAAATAAAGTTCAGTGTTTGACTTCACACAAATTAAGGAAATAAATTTAACTTTACTGTAGGGTACACTGTTGTGACACTATTTTGCATTGTTCTGCACTATTTTGATGTAGATAATTTGTCAAATAAGGAATGAGAAGAAGTGTGAACTTTATTTTGGACCGGCCCAAAAAAGAAAATGTAAACTTTATTTAGGACTGAATGAAGTATAATCGATTTTCCTTTTTAAAAAATAAGCCAAAATCAGAAAATTGTTTTTTTAAAGCATTTCAAAACACCACCTAAAATGCTAAATAACGTTCAATAAGCATTTAATACACTGAACTGTGGAACAGTGACCCACAAGGGCCAATTCACCAACCTAAGTCTGCTCCAGGATTGCCCACTGCCTGAGTCTGACGTCTGGTTTTGTTTGTCAGACAACAAACATTAGTTTGAATTTACTGACACACGAATTTAAAACTTCAATAGTCAGCTTTTCGCGGAGCGTATGTTTAGCCATTTAGGTTTCACACCATTAAGAGTCTCGTAAAAATCCAACTCAATTAAATTAATTGCTCTATTTTGATGAATTGCTTTTGTGAACCACAAACATAGGGGTGGATACAAAATGAGGTAACTTTAATATTTATGATGATTTTAACTCAACTCCAATTTAGTGAGTTCTAATTTGATTTAATCTGAATTGATATAATCTGATCTATAATTTATGCTAATTTTATGTCCGAAGGCTGACGTAATTTGGTCTAATATATCTGATCTAACATGATATTATTGATTTTTTTAAAGCTAAATTGAAAGTGAAAGAATGTAAGAATATTTTTATTTGGACTAAAATTTGCTTGTCTAGTGTGTTTAAATCTGATCTGATCTGGTAATGTCTGGTCTATGTGTATTTTATAACTACGAAAGTCTGGTCAGGTCCAATCTTATTTGTTTACGTCTGGTCTGGTCTGATCTGAAGCTGAAAACAGTTCAATTAAAAATATCTTAATCCATATCCTATTCAAATTTGGTTTCGGGACAAACATCTAAAAAGAATGAACTAATACCCGCTTACTTAGCTACTGACCAAAATTAGAGGTCGTTTGGTAACACCATTTTCGGCTTATCAAGCTTATCAGCCATCTTTTTCACCAAACACGTAACTTGAATTATGTAATAATAAGAAAAAGTAAGGTTGAAGTTACTTTTTTGGTTGTATTGGTTGAAGTTACTGTAGATAACCATTTTAGCTATTTTTACATATAATTTTTCTTTATTATATTAATAAAATATATTTTAAAAATAATTTTTTCTTAAATCAGCAGAATCAGCCAATGTAGCCATTTCAGCCAGAATTTCGTAAATTTCAACAAAATCAGTCGAAGCAGTCGATTTTCATTTACCAAACGGGCTCTTAGTATCAATTTTTCTAACTCATAGGACAAATACATTCAAAAGAGTTTGATCGATTAACCATACAGTGGATTTAAAAGTACTCCATCCCATTTTATGTGTCTCATCTGGTTTTGACATAATTATTAATATAGTGATTGAAAAGGTAAAGATTGTGGTTAAAATTTGAGTATAATAAAGTGAAAATTTGTGAACCACACATTTCTTTTAGAAAAGGGTCAAATAAGGCCTTCTACTATTATGAAATAGTCACATAAGGCCATGTACTCAATAAAGTGTTATATAAGTACCTCTACTTGTAAAAAGCAATCAAATGAGTCCTAATGACCTACTTAACACCTCTTAATCCCGGTTTCAACGTACTTCTGACCATCTTTTTAGAATACATTATACAACAGATGTTGAATATTTAACTCAGATTGGTTGAAATACAAGTCAAAAAAATCGACATGTAAGTCGTTAGGACTCATTTGAATGCTTTATACAAGTAGATGTACTTATATGACACTTTATTGAATACATGACCTTATGTGACTATTTCATAATAGTAGAAGATCTTATTTGACCTTTTTCTCTATTTCTTTCGAAAAGGAAATGTGACACTCATTTGGGACATCCCGGAAAAAAAAGTAAGACAAATGAAATGAGACAGAGAGAGTAATAAATAAGTAGATAAGTGAGACAAATAAAATCTCATTAATCGTCTAAAAATATAAGAGTACTTTTTCACTGTGTTTTCCGTAAATTCATAGTCCCATTTAATTAAAGAAATATCATATTGTCACCTTATACGGAATATTAAATTAGGTGACAACTCCTGTACCCATTTAAAAATGGGATATCGTACTTATCACTCACTTGATTGATTCACATCATTATATCATTTTTAATTTAGATTTAAATAATTCAACTGCAAGATTCTCATTGGTCCAACAAAGGTATGATACCTTATGGGTATTATAGAATCCACCATTAAATTATACTCGGTTGTTATCCCTTTTTATTAAATATTCATCGCCATATATTTAGGGTGTCATCTTCCTTTCGTCAAAAACGTATTTCTATTTTCAAAACTGCTTGATGTACACACTCTTGTACACACCTTATACACATCATGTTTGTGAAACTTTTTTTTGTCAGTGAAGCCGATTCACAGACAATATTTTGTTTGTGCAAAATATTATCTGTGAGTCGATGTTCACAGACAAAAAAAACCTTTCACGAACATAGATGTGTACAAACGTGTGTATAAGAGTGTGTACAAAAGGCTTTTTTGTTCTATTTTATGTACGTGGTATAAAAGAATTACATAAAGTTTATGAAAAGATTCTATTTACTGACCTACCTCAACATTTTGTCATGACCTAATGTGATTTTTGACCCCTGAATCAAATGCTACTACGTATTTCCTAAAAAAAGAACGGCAGAAATTCAAATGTCCCAACAAATAAGCTTTCATTTTCAAATGAATCCAACGGCTGAAGAGGCGCTGGATAGTATGAAGTTCAGCTTGCTTCTTTCTTCCGTTGGTGTCCTCCTGTCTTTACCTCCCCCAACTTCTGGCTCTCTAGAATTTTCCTATCTTTTAACATCTGCTAACACTCCACTGTTTCTCAATTCTCTTTCTCTCAATTCTGAACTCTGCCTTCCTTTGAGAAAATGGCAGTAAGTTCATGCTTTCTAATAGTTCTTGTTTTTTTTGTTTACACACACACCCAGATATATTTTATGATTTTCAAGAACTGATGAGCTAAATCTGTTTTTGGGTCAGATAAAGGACTTTTCTTTACCCTGATTTTGAGCTATTATTCTCTGTTTTCTTTCTCTGCCATTTTTTCGTGTTCGAATCGAACCTTCAGGAATGCTTGCTAATTTTGTTCCATTTCATAATTTGTGATTACATTTCAGGACTGCAATCTTCTTCTATTTAAAGTATTTCATTTCAGATTTTGTGGTGAAAGAAACTGAGCATATACATATTGCAGTCTGAGTATATACATGTATAGACATACTCTTCTTACAGGAATACACATGGAAATATGCAAACTCACATATAGATCAAGAGTTAATGAAATATGGAGTCTTACTAGAGAGTTCTGTAAAACTTAAATTTGAGTAAATTGTTTTACAGAAGTTTTGTTCAGTTAAGATGGGAAATTTCAAATTAGGGATAAGGACTCTGGCATTTGGTACTGAGGGGTTTCGAAATGGCAGGCAACAGTGAAGTGCAGGCCACAAGAAAGGACACTAGGGATGGTGATGAAAGAGGTGGATGAGGATCTTGCTATTTTTCTTGGCATGAGGCGTAGTGCCAAAGAGAGGGAGGATGATCTTCATTCTTCTCCCAGCTTTGACTACATCAATGATTCACTGTGTATGTTACTAATTACTGCTAATTTTATCAATTTTCTCCATGTCTTTGTGTAAAGCTTATACAAATCTCGTGTTTTCTATTGATTGGTGTTTTGTAGATGAGAAAACGCCCAATCATGATAGAACAGCAAAGGAAATTTCCACGAGTTGTTCGAATGACACGAGTGATTATAATGACTGGTGACACTTGCCTATGTTTTTCTCCCCCTTAAATTTTGATGATCTATTCAACTCCTGTGCTTTTTCCCTTTACTTTGATGTGTCTTTTAATTAAAAGAAACCATGAATTGCTCCAATGCTGATGAGCATTTGATTACATTATGGTCATACAGGCTTCTTTCACTTTCATCATACCCCTTCATCAATGAGGAAGAGAATGCTGTCGTTGATTGGACAGGAAAACGTTCAGATTTGGCTGAGTTAGATTTGATGGTAAATGCTGTACTTGAAAAGAAAATCATAACCGAGATGATGGCTCTTACAATTCTTTAAATCTGTGTGCTCTTTTGGAACCTTAATGAAATCGAGCTGCTCCTTTGAGCATATCAGACATCGTATTTAGTTTTGTATAAGTTTATATCTTTATACTTAGTCGTTATGAGATGACTTTACATAAGATCCTTTAACATCACTAATCCTAGCCGGAACAGGAGGCAAATGAATAAATTGGATATGAAATGTATGTAAGCATTGGTTTTCTGTTATTTCCCCTTTGTTGATTCTTTTTTATTATTGATTTTTCATTTTTTATAACATATAATAACTTCGGGTTTTCCGTTTCATTTGAAGTTTAGTTCAAAGTCTGAAATGAAGTGATTTTTTTTTAAAAGAAAACGTGCTTTTTGAATATTTTAGAATGAGACATAATTAAATTCCAAGACTGTATATATCCTGCCCTTGTGAGCCTTAGTTATATATTTGTGACAGCCTTGTTCATTTTGGGTTGCTAGCTAGTACTAGCACTTCGTTAATGCAAAATAATGCCTTTTTGGATACTCTTGCAGGCAGCTAATAGTGGTAATTCCCCAAGGGATGAAGAAACTTCACAAAATGAGTTGTTGGTACACTCATCGTCTACATGTTCTGGAAAAAGCATTTCTTCTTCAAACAGCAACAACTCTTCTTCTGCTGGAAATTCCACAACTTCCTCATCATCAACTGGGAGGAGCAGGAGAAAACCCAAAGCTGCAACCCCCAAAGCTGGACGATCTCTACCACTTTCCTTGTCCAAATCCTCAAGACCTTCCACACCTACTTCAAGATCATCCCTACCATCCGCTCCTCTTTTAGTAAATCCTACTAGTTCACGCTCTTCCGTCACTTCATCCAGATCAGGTTCAAGGTCAGCAACACCAACCAGTAGGACAACATGCGTGGTGAAGCCAGGTCTTGCGTCGTGGAAGAAATCTGTAGCTTCTGCCACTCTAGTAACTCCAAGTGCACCGCCACCTTCCACAGCTGGTGGTGGAAAACCAAGGCATAGTAGATCTTGTTCACCTTCTAGAGCTCATCAAACCCGAAACAACAGCTATGTTCATAGCCAAAATAAGGGGGCTTCACTTTCAAGGAGCCGGGGGTCGTGGTATAACAAGGATGAAGATGATGTGATGATGAACCCTGTACAGGTAGGAACAAAGATGGTTGAAAGAGTAGTGAACATGAGAAAACTAGCTCCTCCTCCTAAGCATGCAGATGATCCCTCCAAGAAGTCATCTCTATCTCATAGAAGCTCAAGCTTTGGCACTTCCTTCTCTAAAATGTCTCTAGATATGGCTATACGGCATATGGTAATTAAATAAAAGCTCGAACTATCTGCAGTGCGGGAAAATCAAATATTTCTGAAGTGAGAGATCAATAACACAAGCACGCGATCTTCCCTGGCCATCAGAAATTGCTAATAGAGCCATTATATACTCAATATCGCAGTAAGTTATGTCTTATCAGCATATTGTCCTCGGATTTTGTTTTTCAAAAAATCCAGCCGTTACATTCTTGATACTCTTGTGTGTGTTGCTTCACATGTAGCGCAAGGATTTGATCCAGCTTTGTTTTTATAAGATGCTGCCTCAAAATTTTGAGATTATTATAAACTTTGATTATTCAGTGTCATCTTGATTCATGCCATTATTCAAGTTTTAGTCATACACATATTCATGATCACTATATAATACGGAGTACTAATAGAGATTGGTAGGGTTATGAGTGAATCGAGCCGAATATCTAGATGTTACTTCGGTTGATTTTGATTTTTATGTATGTGAAAATGAAGCGCCCACCAAATATGAGACTACTGCACCCCTAAAATTACTAGGCAAAGTGAAAGTTATGAAAATGCTATACTAATCTAAACCACAAACAAAAGAAAGCCAAAAAACAATCCACTTGATTACCCTTCTTAAATGCATGATGAGATTGATACCAAGGAAACTAGAGAGTTCCTAGAAGAAGGTCTCTTCAACATCCATGGAGGTATTACTGTTGGTCTAAAATAGGACGCTCGTAGGCTTTTAAGAAAGCTACGTACGACACTCAAGTAGAAAATCAAGAAAGCAATACGAAAATGGAAAGTGCTAAAGAAGTTTAGTTGCCAAGAATAGCATGTAGAGGTTGCCTCCCCTAATTTGAATTACAACCCGCCTTTTATAGGCGTATACAAATCGTAACCGCTACCTATAATAATGACTAATTGATTACAACATTAATACAGAATTAAATACATAATTAATAGCGCATTAATTGCTTGACCGTTACTCTTTCGGGCTGGGAGGTCGGCCGAACTGGCAAGCAGGCTCCAGGTTGTGGACTTGGATCCATGGGTCCAAATTAGGGGCTTGGGCTGATTAGGCTCTGGGCCTAGTTCCATAACTTCATCACGAGTCCCCCACGCCCTTAGTCGAGTAGTAGACTCGGCTAAGAGGGAGTAGTCCAAGTCACTTGCTCTTCTCCGATACTAGAAGATCCCCGCCCTTGTCCATGTTCGGGAGATGCCTCATTAAAAACTTTCATTAGGAAAAAACCCAATGGGAAAAAATCTTAATGAAGGGAAAAAGAATACATCTGATGCCCCCAAGATGAAGCAAGAGGTGAGATCCTCAACCTTTATTGCAATGGTCGCCATCTGCGAATAGGATGGCTAGAATGGTTCTTCTCGTCGTGCTTAGACTCGTCAGGTTCGTCATTTGCTTCCTTGAAGACGGTAAGACTCTCAGTCCCCCACTTCATTCAGTTGTACCTACACATAAAAGAAACTAGTGTAGAATAGAGCATCTAGCCTGGTGTTGAACAACGACTCAGTGTGTAAGTGAGTCGAACTCACTACTTGAAAAGAGTGACATCAAGTTCCCAAGTTAGGCCTCAACCCAGTCTCCGAAAGAAAGATTGAATCCACGAGTAAGTGAGTCGGACTCCTCACTCGACCGGATAATCCAACTCCAAAGAACTAAAGTATATCAACCTTTTCGAGAAATATGAATGCCAATTAAGTGACAAAATTGTTCGGAAGAGCGTAGCTCTAGTCCCCTAACAAGAGTTTAACTCGCCGCCCGAGGTTAGTAGTTCGAACCCGCAAGTAAAAACTTTTGAACGGGTGACTCGTCTCCCGAGGTCGGAGTGTGATGCACTATGAAGGGGTAAGAGCACGCGAGAACTCGTATGAAGTCAAGATTGTGCGGTATTAACATTTATATTGGAGCTTATTAATCGTCACACCCATATGACGTGACCCGGTGGCGCGAGTGTGTGTGCTCGTTCGGCGTACTTGAGTGATTAGATTTCATAAGCCCGTTGTTGAATGTTAAAATTGCACACACTTAACAAGAGTTAAATCAATCATACCACTTAAAAAATCTTTTAAAATGATTCAATTTGTGATATTTTTATTGAATCATTTTATAATTTTTTTTATTAATGATGATGTAAAATTGAGGAGTATACTTGGCTTTTCTTGTTTTGAAGCTCGATCCAAAAGAGAAACCAGTGCAGATGGACATGGCCCGTAATCAATCTAGGCCCAAAAATCAACCTATCAACGTGAGTAGGGGTGGACTCGGGTCCGGGTCGGGCCTAGGCCCGGCCAGGCCGGCGGTTCAAGAATGGTGGACCCGGGACCGGCCCGGGTAGCCACCGGGTCCGGTCCGGGTCCGGGCCGGGCCGGGCCTCCGGGTTGGATTTTTTTTTTTTTTTTTTTTTGCTTTCCTAACCCCCCCCCCCCCCTCCCAAACCCCCCCAAACCCATCCTACGGTCCTACCCATCAAGCCCATCCCGGGTGGAAGCCCAAAAATGAAAAAAAAATTAAAAAAAAAAATCAATTTGGCTCGGGCCCGGGCCCGACCCGGTCGGGCCGGTTCACCAAAATTCAGACCCGAGCCCGGACCCGCCCTACCCCCCGGGCCTAGGCCCGACCCGGACCCGGACCCGAGAACCGGGCCGGTCCCGGTCCTGCACAGTAGCGGGCCGGGCCGGTCCACGGGCCGGGTGGCCCGACCCGAGTCCAAGCCTAAACGTGAGCAATTCGCCTAACTCGTGCGCCTGTGCCAAGCTTCTGGCTGGCAGAAACTTTCGGAAAGGGAGGTCCTTTGGTGTCATAGACTTGCAGAGGCTGAGAACAGTCGGGCACAGGAGGAATGGAAGTCGTCTACACCGCTGCCATTAGAAGGGCCTTTGGCTCTCGCCCTTCTCGACTCTCGCCTGAAGACCCGAACATCAACGCCGGGATGTGTTCGACGGTTGACGGGGCCGCAACTTCGGCCTTTCCGACGACAATGGCTACGAGCTGTAGCAGCGGCTTGGTGAGATCCAGGGCGGCCATATCTGGAACGGCGAGGGTGGGACCAAGACGGTGATCCTTCAACATCGGTGGGCCGTGGTAGGCACGTCAGGGCGCAGCGGCGGTCGGGATGGCGACATCAGCTTCTGCTGAGTAAAGTCCCAGATTTGAATCCTCCGGGGCAGCAGAGACGAGCTTCAGCTCACGGCGCCTGGTGGCCGCTCCGCGGCGGCGATCAGTGGCAGATGACACTTGCATCTCCAACTTAGATCTTGACAAATCCATTTTTTTCTTTCTTTTTTTGTTGAATTTCAAGAACAATTTTTGCTAGATTTTTCAAGATTGTGAGTAACAGACCTGAAGAACTGTTAGAAACCTTCGACCTTCATCCATTTTTCTGAAATTTCCTACTAGAGTGATGAAAGAGACAATAGAGGCTCTTAATGAAAGCATCAATGTTGGTTCAAAATAGGACGATCGTAGGCTTTTAGGAAAGCTACGTACGACACTCAAGCAGGAAATCAAGAAAACAATACGAAAATGGAAAGTGCTAAAGAAGTTTAGTTGCCAAGAATAGCATGTAGAGGTTGCCTCCTCTAATCTGAATTACAAACCGCCTTTTATAGGCGTATACAAATCGTAACCGCTACCGATAATAATGACTAATTAATTAAAACATTAATACGGAATTAAATACATAATTAATAGCACATTAATTGTTTGACCGTAACTCTTCCGGGCTGGGAGGTCGGCCGGACTGACAGACTCCCCGCTGGGCTGGCAGGCTCCAGGTTGTGGACTTGAATCCATGGGTCCAAATTGGCGGCTTGGGCTGATTAGGCTTTGGGCCTAGTCCCATAACTCCATCAATTACCATTTAGGCAATGCACGAGGGTGTGTAAAGCTTCCACCTCAACCCACAATGTCATTCTTGTGTGTGTAAATCTTTGATCTCCACATGCAAATCTGTTTCAATTTGTAAGGGAGATTCAGCAACAACCACCATACCATTGATATGGATTCTAATGGATGTCCTTGCCAAGTATTGAGTTTAAGTTTTTGAAGATGATCGTACATAAACCAGTTTGCCCTTGTTAAGATTGAGAATAAGACAAGGCTAGAAAGCTATTATCGATTTGGAGGCGATTTTGCTTGAGCAAATGTTGTTGAACAGGAACAGGAACCATATAGTACCGCTTCTTAAACTAGTGATTCTAATTCCAATGTGGTTCTATTAATATAACATATTTAAAGTATAAGCATTTCATAACTTGGAAAATTTACTCACAAAAATGAACAGATTTTGTCAATTCTTTTTTTGGATGAACCTTTATATATATATATATTTATATATATATATATATATATATATATATATATACTCACATATATATACATACATATACATACATATATATATATATATATATATATATATATATATAGGAGGGTTCAAATACAAAGAGGTCTTCCCATGCAAAGTGAGAATTAATCTCGTGCGTTCATTTCGAGATCTAATGGCTCAAAATGAGCCAAAAGTGAACTAAATTTGATCAAAACCGCGGTGGCAATTTCGTAATTAAAATGAAGTTTTTTGCCATCGCGAAAAAGTGCAACAGAAACACGCAAAAGTGCAACGCGGTGCTGAAAAAATGCAATTGTTTGCACTTTGCACGGGAGAACCTCTTTTTATTTGATCTCTTCCCTATATATATATATATATATATATATATATATATATATATATATATATATATATATATATATATATATATATATATCATCCGAAAAATAACATGTACACATGCGTCCAAAACTATAAGGCAACCTACCAACAAGGTTGGTCACCAACAAATCAAGCAAGACGCACACCTAAAAAAGGGGTTGGTCCAAAAACAAACAAGGCAAAACAAGCCATCAGAGGGTGTTGCAAGATGCACACACCAAAAGTTCAACAAAACATACACAAGCCGTGGCTAAAGAAATCAAAAAGTGATCAATTCATAAGGATAGATGTTGTAGAGAATCTTGTACACCACGTGCTTGATCTTTGCTACAACATCATCTTCAGTCTTTGTAATATCATCGAAGCGACAAGCATTCCTAGTAATGCCAAACCCAATAAATCGTCGCACAGAAAGACAAGCGAACTGTTTTTTATTTGATGAGTGCACCTCCATGATCCCTCCTAATCCACTTTATTGCTTTCTCCACGGTGGTCATCTGTTTTGTAATTCCAATCTAGTCCCTAATCCTCGTCCAGATCCTGCACACAAAAGGACAAACAAAGAAAAGGTGTGGTGTTGTTTCCAAACCACCCTTACAAAGGTCACAACGGTTAACCATATTAAGATAGGAAAGATTATCTTGTGTAGGTAACTGGTTCCGGAAAGCAAGCCAAACGGTGAAAGAAAATTTAGGGGGAATGTACCCCATCCAAATAAACGGAATCCAAGGTCTAGTCGTGCCCTTAGTGCGCAATAAATCATAAACCTTCGCCGAAATGAGTTTGCCGTTGTTACACATATTGTTCAAAGCCATAACAGCATCGTTTGTGTTGTGAAATTTTTGGCAGATTCTATTACGGATAAGGCAAAGTTTCTTCATAAGCTGGGAGTCCCGGTTGTGTGGGGAAAAATCTCACACACTTTTTCATTTAAGATAAACTCCATTAACCCATCGGACCCAAAGGGATGCAATTTTAAATACCCCATAAATTATCTAATAAACGAACTCGTAAAGTTACGCTAATAAGAAAATACCAAGAAATTGGCCTAGATAGAATTAAAACATAGAGAAAATTCCAAAAAGACGTTCTTCAGTTTTATTCATTGAGTAGGACTTTAGATCAACTCTATACCTTTAATATAAATAAAGGAGAATTAATGGGAAAAGGGTCAAATATGCACTCGAACTAACTTAAAAGTGCAAATCAACTCTTATATAGGAGGCGATGTGCGGCCGTCGTCATTTGGGGCGGTTCCCGGTGGAATTTTTTGATGAAATTTTTTAAGCATCTTTTTCATTAAGTCTAGTTTACTCATACTAAATTTCAGCTAAACATACAATCGAGAAGGCAGTCAAATGAATTTTTGAAGATAACTGTGTAGTTAAACAACGCATAACATTTCAGAAAATCATTTGACTTTTTCCCGATTGCATTTTTATCTGAAATTTTGTATGGATAAACTAGACATAATCAAGAAGATGCTAAAAAAATTCATCAAAAAATTCTACCAAGAACCGGCCCAAATGGCGATGGCCGGACAGAACCTCTTATATAAGGGGTGATTTGCACTTTTTAAGTTAGTTTGAGGGTCTATTTGACCATTTTCCCGAGAATTAATTGATGCTCTTTCCTGTCTATCCTCTCTCTTCCGATCCACCGTGCCTCTCTCTTCTTCGTCACATTTGCCGCGACACCGGAGCTCTTCTTCGCCGGAGAGTTAATTGATGCTCTTTCGCATCTTACGATTAAACATAGAAACGATCATCTCTGAAAGAGCAATACAAATCGTTAACAATGAATCAGGCTTGACACAACTATCAATGGTCGTATAGATTCATATACTTCTAACAACATAAAAATAAGCTAAGTTTTCAATCAACAGATAAACCTAACAACAAAGACTTTAACAAGAAACCAAACAATAAAATAACAATAACTAATAAGATAAATTTCTCGAACCCTAGCCCCTCATTTTACTAATGGCAGTGGTTCGGGAGGAGGCCGGATCATTAGTACCGTTGTAATTGATCTTTCTATCGCCGGTTAACCTTTGGTCCGCCATAGCCATCTCCTCGTTGTGTTTTCCCCACATCCATATACTCAACCAAGTATGTGGATAGCCTTCTTGCTCCTTCACTATGCAGTGCCGCCACACCACAGCTGCCTTGACCTCCCCTCCATCCCACGCCAGCCGTGCCTTTACGATAGCACCTCACAGGCCCCCAAAGAGATCTTCAAATTGCGGTAGCTATGGACACCCCAAAGCAAATCTCCATCACCATCGTTGACCTCCCATCATCCAAACGAAAAGAAATCGACCCACTCCAGTGTTATCGACATCGAAGCAATCGGCAAAACACGCGCAAAAAAGTACTCGTCGAACAATTAGTCGGCACCAAACTGCAAACACTGGTGAGGGTTACCCGTTCGCAACTCCGAAGAGAGACAAAGTTGCGGCTCTCTCCAGTGAAATTAGTGCCATATTTTGGTATATCAGATTTCTCATTACTTATTAATCTTGATTGAATATTTGTATATATTTATTTCTAATTAATTTTGAATTAGAATGTGGCACATTTTCATTTTTTTTTGCGCTAAATAATCTAGGTTCGAACATTGAACTCAAAATAATGTCATTTTTTGCCTTACCTTTATTAATATGGTAATATTACTCTTATAATGTTACGCTTTTTGCAATCTGAAAATATCATTTATACTTCAAAAAACTAGATGGAGTCAAGTTAGTATGTAAGTAACATTATTACCAAACGTGAATATATTCGAATAGAAAAAATATTCTCTGCCTAAAAAAGTAACATACGTAGCATAAGCAAACATAATCCAAATCTCCGGAAAACTGATATCTAAACTCTCCCAAGATCCCACTTAATTGGGATTCCGAAAGATTTTAGATATCATGTTTTCCCGAGATCCGAATTGAGCAACTATATACGTAGTATATAGTACTAATAGCCACGACCCACGGCAAACAAGAAATTGTTGATAAACCATTTTAAAACCTCTTGTAGTTGTAGGTGTGGTTGGTAACTGGGAGCGGGCTGATGAAGCTTTTAAAATCAGTTTTGAGGATATAATAATAAGTCGTCCCAATCTTATGGCCGGCTAGCCATTTCCGTACCCCACGCGGAGCAGAAACAACAACTACCATATTGCAGAGATGTACGTTATCTTTTAGAGAGTCCCTGCCTTTTAATTTTTGTATTATTTAAAAAATATTTAAAAGTTTGTAGTGATATGTTTAGCATGCCAATTTTTAAGAGTTTTTATAAAAATAAAAGATCTTTTTTTAGATGCTACGGTGAGTAGCATTTCAGATAAGTTCATAGCTTCTAGCATTAATTAGTCCTAACAATTTGTATACCAACTAGAGCTAATTCAAACAGTCAGCGTTTTACTAAACAACTACTGCTTTTTTTTAAGATCTTTTCAGTCACTAAAAGTTAACAGTTACTAAAAAGCTCATAAAAGTATCCTTTCAGCCAGTTGTGCCAAACATATCCGTATTCTCATTGTTGTCCTTGCCAAGTATTGAATTTATGTTTTGAAAATGATCGTACATGAAACCAGTTTGCCCTTGTTAAGATTGGAGTAAGATTTGGCCGTTACAATTTTGGAGCAAATGTTGTTGAATCGGAGCCACATAGTACCGCTTCTTAAACCGGTGATTTTGGTTCCAATCTAGTTCTATTAGTAAAACATATTTAAAGTATAACTATTTCTTAATTCAAAGATTTTGTCACAATAATTCAACAGCTTTTGTCAATCCTTAGTATCACCAAAATGGGCTCTTAGATTGCACTGATAATAAATGATCTAATACTAATGAGACTTGTTTGGCCACACTAGTTATATGTAGACCTGTACAAAACCGGATCGGACCGGCCGGCCTGCCCAGCCCGCCCGCACAAATGGCCGGGCTTGGGCATATATATTTACTCATCGGGCCGGGCTCGACCCGACCCGAAATAAGATATGGGCGGGCTTGGGTTAGAGTGTAGGCTCGTTCGGGCCGATAAGCCCGGCCCGCTACATTTAGTATATCTTAATATATGTGTTTATATATACTAATTTAGTTATTTATTTACATATACACATCTATATTTATATTTACTAATTTTTCTTTATACATATTTATAGTTTATTATGTTTAAATTTAAATTTTAAGTTCTTAACAACTAGCCCAACCAATATAATATCTACTTTTGTACTTAAAAATAATACTTTTTGCTTAAATTTTAAATTTTAGATATAGTTTCACATTATTATATTTGTGTAAGTATTCTTTTATAAATACTTTGTGCTCCCGGTGGACTACCCGGAGCGCTCTTACGAGCGGGTATGGACATGGGGTTAGGCACGTTTTTGCGGGTCAGGCCGGGCCCGCCCACACATGATGGGCAAAAAATTTATAAAAAGTCCGGCCCGAGCCCGGCCCGAACCCATTTTTGTACAGGTCTAGTTATATGCTCCATTAGTTCCACTTTAATCTAATAAACAAACTCTTAGAGTTACTATAATAATAGAATATACAGAAATTGCTCTAAATAGAAATAAAGTATAGATAAAATTCAAAATAGAAGTTCTTATGTTTTATTCATTGAGTAGGGCTTTAGATTAACTTTATACTCTTAAATAAAATTAAAGGGGAATTGATCGAGCTCTTTCACGTTTATCCTCTCTTTTCTGATGTGATGTGCATCACTCTTCTTCACAACATTTGCCGCAACTCCATGAACTCTTCTTCGTCAGATGCCACACCTCTCTCTTCTCTATCCCAAGTTGATCTTGTTCTCTTCCCCCTCTTCCTCCTCCTTCGCATCATCGTTTTTGAATTTCTTCATTTTTTATTTTGGTTTCTATTTTTTATTGATTTCGACCAAATCAATAAAATTTCTAGATAATTGTTAGTGCTGTATTTGATATATTCTTTTGACCGGTTTTATCTTAGCTTATTAAAGTCCTTTCCAAATTATAGTCCTTTTCAAATTTTATGCAATAGTTTAACCAGTTTTTTTCACTAAAGCACATAGAGAATGTTTCTGGATGACACAGTGAAAATCGTGTCGAAAATTACATGAATTAACTATTGCTTTATAACAAATTAAAGAACTAAAAGAAGTGTTGACAGTTTAGTGAAACATTTTTCTTTATTACATCATATTCTCAAGCCGAGCATGGTGATTCTTTAGGTGATTTATCTTATTCATCTTACCTTATCTTACCTTTTTATTTTTCTTATCTTTCTTCCCTTTTTTTTTCTGATAACATGGATCGATTGAGAATAAGGCTTGGATGCATACATAAAAATTATGTTCATCTTCTACTCAGTACTAACTATATAATAAAGATCCACATGTTGCTTAATATTTTAAATAGTATAATAAAGTGTTTCATAGTATATGAACTTTAGGCCGTCTCAGGCGATGTTCAAACTGATTCAACCAAGGTTAGGATGTTCTTAATTTTAATTAGACTGGTTTTAGGATGAAACAGATAAGATAATATACTACCACTCTAAACTTTGATAATTGATAAATATACATTATACAGATATCTACCAAACTAAATCTGAAAATTTCAATCTAATTAATAACATATTTAATTGAATTTAATTCATCTTAGATTGAAATAAATCATAAACGCCGAAGAGAGCACTATTGTCTAGCCAACTACACAGAGAATATTAAAAGAGATTTTTTTAAAATATTACTGAAATGAAACCTATTTACAAAAATATTACTTATAGTTATTATAATATAATCTCAGTCACTTAAGTGTAAAAATTGAACATAAATTACTCTAAGTAAGTTACTACTATAGTCACTAATCACTACATTTAGATAACATTTTTGTAAATAACATTTATTTTATTCATGTTTATGTAATTATTTCATATTCAAATAGAGGCTTTATGTTAAAAAGTACTGATGATTGCACATGTATGTTGCACATGTATGTTGCACATGTATGTTCAAACGCATCACAATTCACAAATCAAACCCTTAGTTTAAAATTATACTAGTATCACTCTTTAAAATAGATAAACTTGACTTGGCTAAAACTCAAGTCTAATTCAAATTTCAAACTAGAATTTTCTCTATCAAGTATAACTACCACCCTAATTCCTAAATCTTGCAACCAGAAGTCCAGAACTAGGGATGGATTCGGGCCGGGTCGGGGCCGGGTCGGGCCGCCGGTTCAAGAATAGTGGGCCCGGGACCGGCCCGAGGGTTGGACGGGTCCGGTTCGGGCCGGGCCACCCGCCTGGGTCACGGGTCAGGTCCGGTTCGGGCCGGGCCGGTTAATTTTTTTTTAAATTTATATTTTATAGTTTATAGTTTTATACGAGTATTAAAAACAAACCTCAATTGCATTTATTTGAAATTAAATAGGAACTACATTTGAAAATTAAAACAAACTTTAAGAGAAACATTTTGAAAATTGTAATCAATCGGAACTTCTCGCACCTTCCGATCCTTTGGCTTTTGTCACATGACTTCATATGCTTGATTGCCATCCCGAATCCGCCTGAAGCCCCCATGTTACATTTTTTCTCGCACCATTTGCAAATTGCGTACCACATCCCGGTCTTCGAGTCCTTCTGCTTATCAAAATTATACCGTATAATGGCATCTTGATTTTCCATCTTAACTTCTTAAGTATAAACTATAAAGTAGATATATAAATAATAAATATAATATATTGGAGAATAAGAGAATTAGAGAGTAGAGAGTTAAGAATAGGATTTAGGAAGAATTTGAGAAGAGATATGAAAAAATGTTTAAGATTAGGAGTATTTATAGGTTTTTTACCCCCCCCCCCCCCACCCCCCCCACCAGCCAACCCCCCCGGACCCCCCCTTTACCCCACCCAACGGCTATATAGCCGTTTGGGTTGTCCCCAGCCCCACCCCCAAGGCCCCAACGGCTAGTAGCCAAACCAAACAAAAAAAAGTTTTTTTTAAAAAAAATAGACCCGGGCCCGGCCCGGCCGGGTCACAAAAATCCAGAACCGAGCCCGCCCCCGCCCCTTCCCATCGGTTCGGGTCCATACCCAGTCCCGGACCGCCCGACTGGGCCGGTCCCGGGCCCGCACAGTACCGGGCCAGGCCGGGCCGGGTCACGGGCCGGGTGGCCCGAACCGAATCCATCCCTATCCAGAACCATAAAACTCAAGTTCCGGGCCAGTTGGCCCGGCCCGAGTCCACACCTACATAAAAGATGGTTGACGACTTCATTTAAATTTGCACTTTAATTCATACACATTTAACTTTTAATACGAACTACGAAGTAATGAAGTATGTAGTAATAGAAAAATCATTATACACTCAGAAGTTGATTTTATCTCATAATTTTTCATCTTTTATTTTTTCCATATAATGGAGTAACACATGACAAGGCTTTGGTCACTTTGGTCATTTGGTGTTGCATCAACAGTGTACCAAATGCTTCTATTTATTGTATCTCGTGTTTAGAGTGGAATGTACAAGCAGTGGAATGTACAAAATCAATTGTCTGATCGGTACCGAGGGACTTAGGGGATTGAGGTATAATCCTTCTTTTCAATAGTTGCAAGTGTGTATCTGTAGTGCCCCCTCCCCCCTCCGGCCCTCCCCCACCAAACCAAAAAAGTAGTGTATTTTCAGCGGCACAGCACCTCCTCACCCGGTATCAAACTTACAATTTGAGAATAGGTTAGATTAGACTATAAATAATAGTTACAAAACGGGCACAAAAAACGCCCATATCAAAGTGTCATATGCTAACTAATACTACTACTAACTAAGTTACAATCAAATGGCAACAAATCCCAAAATTTCTAGTCCACCGTCCACCATATTCTGAAGCAGCCCTCTAACTACTCTCTGCTAAAGCATTTATGCTTACGGTATGGATGGTCAGTTTACAAACTCGGCAGTAGCAGAATCAACTGCACCCTTTATGAGACCTACTCACTCATGACTGCAATCTAGAAATTGATTCCAGGTATGCAAGTCCGG